GTTGTGGGCCGATGTGCAGTGAAGGTGTGTCTAGTAGCACAAGGCCTCCACTCTCCAGATGCCAGATGTGCTGGCTTAAACCTTTAATCCCAGCACTCAGGAGGCAGGGGCAGGTAAATCTCTATGAGTTAGAGGCCAGCCTGGTCTACAAAAGTTCCAGGACAGCCAGGGTTACATACTCAGAGCCTGTCTCAAAAGTTTTTTAAAAAATTAAAATGCTAAGCCGGGCGTTGGTGGCGCACGCCTTTAATCCCAGCACTCAGGAGGCAGAGGCAGGCGGATCTCTGTGAGTTCGAGGCCAGCCTGGTCTACAGAGTGAGTTCCAGGACAGCCTCCAAAACAATACAGAGAAACCCTGTCTCAAAAAAAAAAAAATTAAAATGCTAAACACCACGGGAAAAGATACAGTTCACAATAAAATTAACACTCTTAAGACAATGTGGGGTATATAAACTTTGATATTAGACTCTGACAGAATAAGCACACTGTTAAAAATAAGGACACTGGGGGAAATGAACTGAAGAAAACTCAAAATTTCAACAAAAACTAAAAGGCCCGATGAGAGTTTTGCCTCCTCTGACTTCTCAGGTCTTTTTATGCATTTCTGAGGAAGTCAAGAAACTGTGGTAGAAAAAAGTATCTTCCCAAGAATTCTACCTAATTGCAAGACAAACAAACGGGTATGCCAAGCCGCCAGAGTCTTTCTTCTTCTCTTCCTGCTTATTACCCAAACAAATAGCCACCTTTATGTACTTTCACTGTAAAAGATAACCTCCACCTTCAGGTTGAGTGAGATAATCTGTTGTCTCAAGTGCTCCTGCAGGGAAACCACTGTAATTAGACACTAACTGCTCTTCCGAACCCTGTATCCTCTCTCAACTCCCAGGGCCAATCCCAAGCCAATGCATTTCAGCTACTAACTCCTTCAAGTGCACATTCCTGCCACTGTGTTCTATACTGTTACATGTCTTAAGACACATGCTTCCTTACTGACCTATGTTTAAAAAGAGAATGGTCATCCTGGGTTGTACTTCTAAGATCCTGTCCCCAAATAAGAAAACAAAATGCTATTTTGGTCTTGAAGTACCCCATTGGGAAAAACTCCAATCATTTATAAAATGTAAAGCTGCTAAGAATGTAAGAAAGGAATTTAAACTGCTGAGACCAAGACTGTAAGTACTCAATAAAATGTGCCCTCCCTCAGCAGCCTCCGGTGATCCTTACAGATTCTCCTCCCTCCCTTCCTTAAAGCGAACCTGCCTTTTTAAGGATTAACACCTTTTTCGAAAATATGCAAGGCTCTCAAACACTTTTTATCAGCAACACCAAATTCCCCTCTGCAAACTTGGGTTGGGAATTTTAGGTCAAGAATGTAATCGTGACAGCATCTGACTGTACCACAAAGGTTAATAAGGCTCTGCCTGCCTGGGATTCTACTAAAAGGGAAAAGGCATGCTAATGTGAGTTAAACTATGAAAAATTTCATTACAAGAACAACTTATCAAAGGGGAAAAAAAACATATTTGGAAGTGGAGCTTGTCCTACAATATAACATGTTTTGTAGTGATTTTTTTAAAAAAATTATCTTAAGATTTAGCAGTAAATTAAGATAAAGGAAAACAAACCCAACCCCAACAACATAGTTCAAAACTGACCACTAGCTCTCAGGGGCAGAGGCAAGGAGATCTCTATGAGGTGGGAGCCAGCCAGGGGTATAAAAAGAAACCCTGTCTCAAAAATAAAAGGAAGAGAGGAAGGGAGGGGAAAGAAAGGGAAAGAAAACAGGTGGATGGGTGTGATGACTAAACATGAATTTCCCAGGCTAGCTCCCTTTTTATTCTTTCTTTACTAATATTAGTATGGGGGCTGGCACCCAAAGCAACAGGTTTCATCCTCATAAATGCCATTAGAGTTTGTTCTCATCCATTCCCCTCCTCCTTACTCACTCTTAAAGGATGTACCTAAGAAGCTGGGAGAGAACAGGGCAACTGTGTGAGTCTCGGAGGGCTCGCGGGTGAAGTGGGGGTGAATATACTCAAAACACACTGAATGAGATTCTCAAAAATTAAAAATACTACAATGCCACATACGGTCACTAGGAGAAATGATCGGGCTGTAAAACCTATCCCATTTCCCATCACAAAACGAAAATGGTCTCACACATACAAACATGGTAGTACAATCCAGCCTTAGGTGATTCCACTCCAGACCCTACAAAGGTGACTCGCTAAGCTTGAGAAACTGTGGCGGTAATAGCAAGAGACAGTGACTCAATGACAGGAATCACTCCCAGGCTCTGGGACATACACAGCACCAGGTATCAATACGAAAAGGAGGCATCTCAAGGTTAACTGAGTCACATGTTTGAGTCTCTCACTGTTATATACTTCATGTTACTTACAGTTTATTAAATTATCTGGGTCCTTCTAGAGTGAACCACAATGTTTACTAAAGAACAAATATAAACCAGGTGTCCTGGGTAACACCTTTAAGCCCAGTACTCAGGAGACTGAGTTCAAGGGCAGCCTGATCTACATAGTGAGTTTCAGGGCAGCCAGAGCTACATAGTGAGACTTTGTCTTTAAAAAAGCAAACAAACAAGAAAAGAACAGATACAAAACCAAATTTCATAAGGTAAAATATAAAACTAGTTTTCTAAGACCAGAAACAAATTTTGTACACATCAACTATGAATGTTTTTCATATTTTACTTAGAAGTTTGGAGACAAAACCATCTTTAAATCCAAAAGACTACATTTTCTTATGTAACACAACTACATCGATTTTAATAGCTCCACTATTATGTCCAATTCATTTTCTAGTTATTCACCATGAGCAAGCTTTCAAACTCATCTTCAGATACCAGTTTCTAAGAGAAAGCACTTTTAGTCTACATATTGTATTTGGTCTACATTAGTACATTACATAAAAAAGGAATGCAGGGTATGGTGGCACACACCTTTAATCCCAGCAGTCAGGAGGCAGAAGGAGACAGATCTCTGAGTTCAAGGCCAGACTGGTCTTTGGGAGACTTAAAAGAAACCAAGAGGTTTCATACACATATGGCTTCCTTATGTTTGTTGACCCCAGGTTTTTTGTAAATTATTTGAATCCACTATTCAAAAATTATTCTGTATTTCCTCGTGGGTACAATGTTACCAACAACAGCTAGAAATCCTACTGAAACCAGCTTAGCTTCCAACTTATGTGTGGGTGTCTCAGTTCATGTTTTAGACATCCTGTATTCCAAAGGCTCAGCTGATTTGAGAAGATCATGTTTTAGACATCCTGTATTCCAAAGGCTCAGCTGATTTGAGAAGATCACTCACTTCAGGAAATTTGCCTTGACTTCACTGAGCTCATTGCCAACACCTCAAAACTTGGCTCCAGCTCTCTAGCCTCTCCCTCCTCCACTGTATAGTCAATGTTCTAACTGAAAACCTGAATGCATACTACTTAAAAATCTTCATTTCCCAAACCAATCTACAGGATAAAGGTGACTCTGTAGTCTGCCACACAAGGTCTCACACGTGGTGTCACTTTCCCTTCCATATCCATATTTCACTTATACACAAGCTACCTAACCACTCTTGAGGAGGGAGGGAGGGAGGGAGGGAGGGAGGGAGGGAGGGAGAGAGAGAGAGAGAGAGAGAGAGAGAGAGAGAGAGAGAGAGAGAGAGAGAGAGAGAGAGGCGCTTCCTATGCTTATAATAGATCCCTCCCCTCTAATATGAAATTTTCTTTCTCACCTATTTAGCTCAGTTCAAAAATCACCAAAAAAAAATCTTCCCCATCTCTCATATACCTTAGTACACATGGCCATCCTCTGATCATTCAAAAGCATCTGGGATGGTGTTTACGTGGAGTCTGACAAATGAACAGATTTTGAAGGTGGATACTCGTGCCTAAGGGAGCACCCGGCCCACTGCAGCCACAACTGAAGAACATAAGGATACTCCATTCATCCTTACACACATGTGTAATAACAAGCATACACACGAGCTGGAAATACAGTCTGGTTTATGTCGACAAACACACTAAAACTTCGGACCCTTTCCTATGGGCAGTGTTAACCAATCTAGAACAGAAGAAAGCGGATCCTCACCAGAACCGATCTGGCAGCATCCTATTCAAAATGTTTCAGTATTCTGAACGCCACCATCTCCACACAGCAGAAAGCTAACTTAATTTAAAAGGAGAAAGCCAAAGAGAAGAAACAATGTAATTAGTTTCGTGAAGGTCAGCGCTCCTGCATTCAAATCTTCACTCAGCACCTTTGAAGGCAAGAAGCCTTCCATTGTCCATCGTACTCCCGGCGCTAGTGGAGATAACTCAGTCATGCAAACAATAATTTAATACAAAAGATAAAACAAACAACATGTCCAGAAAGAAACGAGTGTGTTAATGGTGTGTTTCCACCCCCCGTTTCATCATCTCCAATATAAATATGTTACATATTTACGGGAAGTTTCACAATTCAAACGTATTGGCCGGCAGTAATTTCTTTCCGATAATCCCCTGGGTTAAGCAGAGCAGAGATTCTTTGTCCGGCTTTAGAAAGACTGAACAACAGGCTCTGGAAATGTAGCTTTTCGTTCATTCTTTTCTTTTTAAGGCATTCTTACTACAACAACAACCATAAAAAAAAAAAAAAGGCCCAAGGAAAACCCGCCTTCTCCTCCATCAGAATCTCTGCGAACCTACTGGTTGAGTCCGCTAGGACCACGATAGTCAAATCTCAATTCTGAGAGACTGAAGCAAAAGTTCCAGCTCCCAGCCCACGGCCAGTGACAGCCACTCCACCCGCGGGCGCTGGCTGCAGCCCGGGAGCGGCGAGCTCACGGCCAGGGTGCAGCCGGCCGCCGGGCTCCGGGTCAGCGCTGTCAGGGGAGCCGGCAGCCTGGGGTCCACCTCGCATCTCGCACCGCCGGACACTCGGGGAGCGCCCAGCCCGGGACGCGGAGCTCCCGGAACACCGTCCCCCCACCCCCGACACCCACCTGGCCGCCCGGCATCGAGGACCGGGCCCAGCAGGCCACAGGCTAGCAGCCACCTTAGCGGCAGAGAGGCAAGGGGCGAGGGCGCGCGCAGCCCCATAGCGAGGGCTTCTGCAGGTTCCGCTCAACGCGCGGCCGCCGCCTCCGCCCCTTCGGTCATCCTTGCAACCTCGCGGGGCCCCCGGGGGACTGGCGGGGCGCGCGCCCACGGCGAGCACGCGCGCGGCACTGACGCAGCCTCCTCCCCCCCCCCCCTCCGACCCCGCCCCCACCACGCTCGCTCCGGACGTAGGGAAAACAGAGACTGCGGTGAGAGGGTGGCCTAGTCCACGCCGGCGGCTTCAGATCGTGCCTGTCCGTCCCGCCTCTCCGCCCGCGCCACTGGTACGGGAGAGCGTAGGCGGGGCCGGGGCGGGGTTAACAGAAGACCCGCCCCCCCGTGCTGCGAAAAGCAAGAGGGTCGGCTGGAGGGCGGGGTTAAGAGAGGCACCGTCCCACCGCCCCTCCTCTAGCCGCTTTTGATTGGTCGCAGCAGCGGGGAGGGGCGTCGAGCTGCGCCCCGGTTGGCTATGTGGCGGCGAGCTGCGTGCCGACGCAGAGAGGCCTGACAGCGCCGAGTCCGGTGGGCCGGTGGCGGGCGGCCTGGCTTTGTTTTTAGGGCAGGTCTCTGGGGCCGGCCCGGGAAGATGGTGCTGGGGGGTTGCCCTCTGAGTTACCTACTGCTGTGTGGCCAGGCGGCCTTGCTGCTGGGGAACCTGCTGCTGCTGCACTGTGTCTCTCGGAGCCACTCGTTTAATGCCACTGCCGAACTGGATCTCACGCCCTCAGGCGCCGCTCACCCCGAGGGTCCCGTAACCCCGAGCTGGGAATACAGCGACCCCCACTCTCCGGTCATCTTTTGCTCTTACCTGTAAGCCTACGGGGTCGTGGGGGCAGTCCTGTTGGGAGATCGGGCCCGGCTAGGTGGTGGTTGTGGGTAGGCCAGGGAAGGGAAGGTTGCTTCCACCTGGGGGCGGTGATTCCAGGATAGGTGCCCGCCTCTCAACTCCCCTGCCTCGGAAAGCCTTTCCTCGGGTGTTAGTGGTAGATACTGGGAGGGAGTGGTGTAGGCTGTAGAACCCTTCCACTTCCTGCACCCTTGCTCCTGCCTTGGTTATAGGATGAGTTCAAGGACAGCCACCCATCCTGGGTAATTTCAGGAAGGAAGGAAGGAAGGAAGGAAGGAAGGAAGGAAGGAAGGAAGGAAGGAAGGAAGGAAGGAAGGAATTAAAGGGCTGGAGATGTAGCTCAGTGGTAGCTAGCATCCCGAGCGTCTGCAGTCCCTAGTACAGGAAGAGAGGAGGGCAGAAGGAAGGAAAACAGTTCGGAAGGAATGCGTGCGATCCCATAGCAATTGGTAAGGGGGCTGATGATAGTCTTGGTGCTTTGCAGACCCGACGAGTTTGTAGATTGTGATGCCCCGGTGGATCACGTTGGAAATGCCACCGCGTCCCAGGAACTTGGTTATGGTTGTCTCAAGGTGAGGTTTTTGTTTGCTGTGCATTCCCTCTTCGTGGGAAGCATGGCTGAGTGCTGCTACAGAAGAGCATAAAGGCACACAAAGACTTCTGTTGTTTGTTTGTTTGTTTTTTTAAGAACTCCATCCGTATAACTGTTGCTGGAAAAATCCCACTATGACCAAGGTTTTAGCGATTTTCCTTATGAACCAGCAATGTCTGTGCCCAAGCCGTCCAAGTGTATTGGTTCCTTTGGCCACTGAAATTAACAAATTGAAGCTGAAATGTCACCTGTCCTTTCAAAGCATGCCCTCTCTTAAAAGGACAATGAAAAAGGCCCATGCGCTTTGGAAAGCTGATGCTGAACTGAGTTTTCTTGAGACACATGCAATTGGAGCGAGTTCGTGGTGCTGGCGATAACAAGCAGGTTGCACCCTGTCCCTAGGAAGTAACTAGGTTCTGTCAGTCATGTTTTTGTTTGAGGATAGAGCATTCCAGAGAAGCCTTTGGTACAGTGGCCTCTTGGCCTGGAAAGGAGCCATTAGTGTCCTTAGAGTGTACCTACTTTGTGTCTCAAAACCCATTGAATTTTGTTTTGGTTTGTCTTGTTTTTGTTTTATAAGCCTTATAGTACCATAACCAAGCGGGCAACTCCTAACTGAACTGTGTGTTAAGAAATATGTTAAATACACTGAAATTTCGTTTTATTGGTAATTGGTAAACACTTGACTAACATTGCATAGGGATAATTTAATTTTGGTTGTTTTAATTAAAAGCTGAATTTGCCGGGCGGTGGTGGCGCACGCATTTAATCCCAGCACTCTGAGTTCGAGGCCAGGCTAGACCGACAGCCTCCAAAACAATACAGAGAAACCCTGTCTCGTAAAAAAAAAAAAAAAAGAGCTGAATTTATCCTGTCACAAGAGTCAAACTGTCTCTCAGCCAGCAGCCCTTAAGGACTGGCAGGACTCGGGAGGTGTGAGAAGTGAGCATCCTTGTCCTCCAGTCTTGCTTTGAGGAACACAGGGTAATGATATGAATGTAGTAATAAGATATGAGGGAAAGTGTGTGGCTATGCTTTCTCTGTCGGAATTGAACTAAGCAAAGGGTAATGCCCAGGTTCTAGCAAGTTTTGATGGAACTTATACCTGGGGTAGACTCCAGAAACCTATAACCGTGAGTGGCCTAAGTGAAGTCCTCAACCAGATGATAGTCTGAATTATTTTCCACTTTTGTTCACATACAGTAAATCTACAACAGATATCTTGATATATATTGACATCTCAATTCCCACTCCAAAAATGCTACACTGTAAATACAAGATAACCAAAGCACTGTGTCCATCTCTGCAGTTAGGTTTTTGTTTTATTGTTTTGAAGAAGCCACGCATGGAGGAAATAGGTTTAGTTAAAGCGGTATACACTTAGAATGGGCGATCAAGTCCCCTGAAGTCATCCCTGCAGTCCGTGCTTTTGAGAACTTTACCCAGTTGTGCTAGAACTATTTACAGCGCTGAAGCAGCTTTTCCCAGTGAATGTGGATGTGTGTGTTACTTCCTCGGCAGTTCGGGGGTCAGGCCTACAGTGATGTGGAACACACTGCGGTCCAGTGCAGAGCCCTGGATGGAATTGAGTGTGCCAGTCCCCGGACCTTTCTACGAGACAATAAGCCTTGTATAAAGTAAGTTTTGTTTTCATTGTTGTACTGCACGTGTGGTGCTGGGATTTGAACCCAGGACACCTCCTGCTAATGAACTGCACCCCTAGCCCAAACTAAGTGTTACTCTGAAAGGGGGCCATGGGTGCTTGGATGGAGGCACCAGCTGGTGCGACCGTTTCTTAGGCATGTCAAAGAATGCATGTGTTTCCTCCTGTGTGGACCCCCTGGTTGAAGCAGTGTGATTGCAGCAGCTAGGAGCAGAAGTTGTGGCTTCTGACTTTCAGTCTGCCCCCATCCTCAGCTCGCAGGCCCTGGGCAAACAATGTAGCTCCAGAACTCCTGACCGGCAGCCACCCTGTGAAATCTGCATTAGAACTTCTGGAACAAGGCTTTGCAAAGAAATGTGGGGGTTCCTCAACTGAAATCACCTGATCCTAAAGAAATGTGGTATAGATTCTGCCAACAGATCCAGAATTTACTTGGATTGTTAGCGCCTGAAAGAAGCCTGGGTGATGAGGAATGACGTCAGCACTAAGGCTTTTTCAGGCACATAAAAGGTGCAGGAAAATGAGGCCCTCGTTTAAGGAAAGGATGTTTCCTTTGAAAAAGAACTCGTGAGCCTCAGATCCCCAGGCTCCTCTGCTATCACAGTCTGTTATCCAGTTGTCCAGTCCAACTTGGCAAAATGTGTTTGTTTAATTTTGTTTGTGTATGTATAGGCTTGCCTTGCTGACTGCAGGGTCTGCAACACCCAGCAGAGGGCGTCTGACCCTGGTGTCACTGATGGGCATCAAACCTGGCTCTGATCTTCGAGAGAGCATGGAAAGTGCTCTTAACCACTGAGCCATCTCTCCAGACCCCTTTTTGCTCTTAAAGTCACTTCCTATCTTAGCAAGTACTTTTTTGAGACCCTAGAGCAACTAGAGCTAGGGAGGTGCTTACAAGAATCTACTATACTGTAGTTAACGTTTCTTTTTGTCTCTGGGGAAAGATTGCCCATTCCAAGACTAGAAAATTCATGGCCCTAGTCAGTGTGTCCTGAATATGCAAATTCATGTCCTGAGCCATCTAGAGGCTGGACACTCCTGTGCCTTAATCATCCCAAGGTCATGTGTCAGGCCACTAAAGCCCAGGCTGAATATAGCTTAAAGCTGCTGAGGTGATACAAGTAGCCAATCCTAAATTTCTGGTGTGGCCTGCCTTGGCTTTTCTGCAAAACCCCCAGCAAAGATTGCCGCCTGGACCTACCCCCTACTCCTGACCATCATGGTCTCCTTCCCATGTGACCTAGCAGGGTGACAGCCCACCTCCTCAACTAGACCCATGAATGTAATAAGCTATCTGTTTGGCTCCACCCCCCAGCTGTTTTGTGTCTCCCCTAGTAGCCACACCTGACTGAATGTATCAAGAAGGAACCCAAGCAGGGTGGGAGGCCTCTGCACCACAGCCAGCTGTTACTGCCCTTTCATGACGGTCCAGTCCGTTTTCATGAGGCAAACATCTCCCTCCCTCCATCCAGGTACACCGGACACTACTTCATAACCACGCTGCTCTACTCCTTCTTCCTGGGATGTTTCGGCGTGGATCGTTTCTGTTTAGGACACACTGGAACAGCCGTCGGGAAGCTGCTGACCCTGGGAGGACTTGGGATCTGGTGGTTTGTCGACCTAATTTTACTCATCACTGGAGGGCTGATGCCCAGTGACGGTAGCAACTGGTGTACTGTCTACTAAAAGCTGCTGCTGTCCCATGCCGGCAAGGATAAAAAAGCGTTCGTCTGCCCGGCTAATTACTACAAGCTCCAAATTCTTCTCAGAACATCACTTTCCCCTTTAGAAGTTCGGACTGAACTTTTCAACCCAAACCTTACCTTGCAGACCAAAAATGACAGTGTTGTGGGAGTCCAGTGGTACCTTCCTTCATGTGTAAAATAGCAAGATAGTGACTTCTATCCACGAATCATTTTTAGAGCTCCATTTCTGTGTGGCTGGATCTTGAGTCGTCTGGAGCAGGGGGCCAACGGGATAAACCGAGCAAGTGTTTACCAATGCACAGCCTCTCATGACCCTGAATGGCCAAGCACAGGCCAGAAGCTGCGCCAATAAGAAATCTTCAGGTGACATAGAAATGACCGTGGATTTTAATACACACCAAAATTCTGACTCTGTGATTTTAAATTACAGAATAAAGTTTTAAAACCTAGGCTGTTGTGGATTTCCAATAGAGAAGGAAACTCCAGAATTGTCTTTACTGAAGGGCGAGCATTTAAAGTGAAAGTTGGGGCTTGGATATGTAGGGTCCTCCTGCAGCCCGCCTCCTTCAAGTCGACTGTTCCACACTTGGTCCTAAGCATACCAAGTCTAATACAAGTACCCTTATTAAGCCTGGCTGTGGACTGCTGTAATGTTCTACAGACAGTAACTTCTTCATTCCAGTTATGGTTTGAAACCCAACCAATGGTAGACACGTATGAGTTAACAGAGTTGTCCTGTCTAAAATTAGTATTTTCCGATTTTAATCAGCCTTTACAATATGGGTCCCATATATCAGAGGCTGTATCGACTAGAGGACACTTCATTTGCAGCACTTGGGAGGCAGAGGCAAGTAGATCTCTTGTTGAGTTAGAGAACTGCCCGGTCTACATAGTGAGACTATGTCTTTAAAAAGAAAAAAAGATTTTGTACAAGTAACTAACACTTTCTGCATAATTAGTTGAGACAAAATGTGAACTCCATGCCCTTGGAAAGAAAAGTGTATGCCTACTTAGAAGATACTGACTGGGGGGAGGGGGCAAGTCCAGATATCTTGGGGAGAGAGAGGAAACGCATTCTGTCCACACAAGTGGGACAGTAAAAGTTTTCCCATGTGCCACAATGTTAAAGCAAGTCAAGCTTCTGCCTTCCCAAGTCCCCGTTGTCACTGTGTGTCCCAGTCCTTAGACCAAGAGCCTGCACTTCAGCTAACTAGCCATGGACTCTAGAAACAGCAGAAACGCCACGTTCAGGTAAAATTAGTCCTGGAAACAGAGGATCATTTTGTAGAACTCAGGAGGCGAGGCAGGTGGATCTCTGTGAGTTTGAGGCTAGTCTGGTCTTGCAGAGCAAGTTCCAGGAAAGCCAGGAATACACACAGAGGAACCCTGCTTCGAAAAACCAAAAAAAAAAGTTTCTGCCTCAGGATCCTCGATTAATATCACTGTCCCCACATTACTAAAGATGGCAACTGTGAAAACTTAAAACCACAACAACCTTAACCCTACTTACAACAAAAGCAATTGGAAGAGGCAATTCATAATTTCTACACACCAAGGCTATATTTTTAGATTAATTGTAAAGAAACTAGACCTAAAAATATACAAAGTAAGCTTCATATAGACTTTAAGGAGAGCCAGGAGTGCCATATTAAAAAAAAAATTTGGAATGCTCCATGGTAAGCCCTTATCTAATGTGCACTGGTCCCCAGGTTTGATCCCCAGCAACCCTCCCAAGTCTAGAAGACAGTAACTAAAAATCCTAACCAAAATAAGCTATTTAAGCCATGAGTCAGCCCTACCTATGTAAAATCTGAGTGTTTGTAAGCTCCATTGAAAAAAGAAGAACCTGTGTATAAGTCTATACATGGTTCAAAAACTATTTTAATGGAAGATGTTCTCAGAAATACTGGAGGATCAAAATTGTTTCTAAAATGTCATTTTGAGAATATTCCTGTGTTGTAATCTGATGTCATTAGTTTCCATCTGTCTTGTAATTGATGACTTTTCTACTCACAATCCCTGGCCAAAAGTGTGATACAACCTGGGAAACTGAGTATACAAAGGAGGATTGTTAAAACGTGATTACCTTTTTTACTCCAGATTCAGGCTCTTAATATTCGATAGGTAGATTATTTATACATATGTGTGACATATCAGTTTGTGGCTATACAGGAGGTTACTAAAGTAACCTGTCAAGATTCAGTTGGGAATTGCCTGTTTTTCAGTCTTTAAATTTTATCAGACCACATGGCTGCTTCCACTTGTCTTAAAAAGGTTTTGTTTAGGGGTTTTTGTTTTGTTTTGTTTTTTTTGCAACAGCGGAGCACCCTCAACCTCAAGATTCGTGTGTGTGTGTGTGTGTGTGTGTGTGTGTGTGTGTGTGTGTGTGTGTGTGTGTGTGTGTACAAACACGTGTGTTAATGCATTCAAAACATTCATTTTTCTTGATGTCCTAAAGCCCCTGCCATCTTGACCACTTCTTCAATACAAACCAGGTAACATAACTGGTTTTGGTAGACTGTTTTTCAAAGTAAGATTCTTAATTGATTATCTCAGGTGTGACTGTCAGAAACAAGGTTTGACTTCCTCGACGCACAGTGATGGAGAGAAAGTCATTGTCCTTAACAGCTTCAATGACATCAGTTGTGGTGGTGACAGGTTGCCCATTTATGCTGACAATTACATCATGGTCTCTCAACCCCGAGCTGAGAAAAAAAAAGAAAAAATGATCAAGCCGGGCAGTGATGGCACACACCTTTAATCCCAGCACTCAGGAGACAGAGGCAGGCAGAGCTCTGTGAGTTCAAGGCCAGCCTAGTCTACAGAACAAGTTCTAGGACAGCCAGGGTTACACAGAGAAACCCTGTCTTGAAAACCAAAAATGAAGATTGATGAAAACATAAGAGTTCTTCTACTCTTTCCTATTTGGGGGGGGTGTTGTCTGTCTGTCTGATTGTGTATACACACACACACACACACACACACACACACACACACACACACACACAGCCTGCTATTTCGCTAACCGTTAGACATATAAACCAAGAAGGCAAGACTAGCCTGAACCCTCCAACTCTGAGGGTCGTGGGAAGATGTGTCCTGAAGCCAGCTGGAGCACAATGGCCTTCTGTGTTTCCTGTAGTAGTAATACCCTGTGAGAACTCTGGAAGAAGCCGCCCCTCATATACAGTGATTCACTTGGAATGGACAGGTAGGTTAGCTTCTAATTTCTCTTCATCTCTGTCCTGTGTTAACTTCAAGCATTACTAAATTCACTAGCAAGAGTGCTACGCCCAGACAGTGTTTTTCCCCCAGGAAGTTGTGCTCTGATGTGTCTGACTGGACAGACAGCCCATCCCATGGTTTCTGGAACTGGAGCTTGATGAGCTGCTGTGTGTCCCAGATGTTCTGCTTCCCTTAAATCAAACACCATCCCAGCTTCTAAGTCCAGATGTTTACAGCTCTGATTCAAGGCTGTAGTCCTATTCAGTCTTCAATACATTGACCTCACATAGAATATATACTCCAGATACAAACTCCACTTCCAAAAGCAAAGTGCAGTAAACATGGACAGGCTGGTTGGCTATGCAAAGGTAAGAATGGGCTAAAAGAGGGACAAAAATTAAATGATTCCAGAAGATGCCACTGAAGGAAAATGTTCAAGAAAAAAGTTACAATGTGAGCAGATTACCAAGATACGTGGAATTTGAAAAATAAGAGGAGCAGGGGGTGTAGCTGAGTGGTATAGGGTATGTTTAGCATGTACTTGGTCCTTAGTTCATTGGCCAGTATCAAGGGTGGGGGTAGGAAGGTAATTCAGTGGGGCATGAAGAGAAGGAAGGAGAAAGCTATATGCAAGAAACCCTTAGGAACCAGACGGGAGAAGATGATGACTCAGCAGTCATGCGCAGGGAAACAGCAAGAGAGAGCCAGTGTCCGTCATGGGGCCCACTGTACCCTGAGTAGGAGGAAGTTGGCTCACACAGGGTTAAGTGGCCTTTTCCCATGTCTCATAGCTTTCAAGAGATTAAAGTGGGATTTGATCCTGTGTCTACCAGACTTGAAAATTCATCTTCTTGCCACTAAGTCAACTCTGCCTCTTAAAAAGGAGGGTAACTACCAAATCAGGATTGCAGAGGAATTAAGCCAGGGTGCACATCTCCTCCCTAACCCCTGAGTAACTCAACACAGCTGCTTCCCCTTAAAAACAAGGACTATGTCATAAGACTCCTCAAACAACTGTGTAAAAACACTGTGGTTCCGCTGATATAATAAATGCTTCCTAAGTGCCAGCTGCTGTTTGTAATTATTAGCAGTTATTAAATATAAGTAGATGGAAGCCAGCAAGGAGGGGTGTTGGGCTGTCAGAGACTTACAGCAGTAATACTCACTTGGACAGGCGCGTAACTACCCACCTGGGAATCTTGTGAAGACAAAGACTCTCTCCTAGAGATGTAGCCTAGTGGCTGAACAGGTGTTTATCCCACACAAGGCCCTGGTATGAACTCCAGGAAGCAAGTAATATTAGAGTTAAGGGGAGCCTGGGAGAGAGGAAGGGTAGAAAGAGGAAGGAAAGAAAGGAGGGAAGTGAGAGAGACAAGTTTACACCACTGAACCCAGCACTTGGGGAGTCAGGACAGCAGAATCCAGAGTTCAAGACCAGCACAGAGACAGACAGAGGAGGGCAGGGGTCCGATTCAGGGATGGGACTCAGGCCTGCCTTCCTGCCTGGCTCCAGCTGAGGCCACCACTGCTGGCACAGCGCACTTTGAGAACGTACAGAGCTCTCTGGCCTTGGATCAGAAGTTAAAATAAGGAGTCTGGGGAGGGACTCGGAGGGAGCCTAGAAAAGCTTAGGACATGCCAAATCTAGCAGCGTGAGCTCTGACACTTAGCCATGCTTAACTGCTGGTACCTATGAGTTCTTCAGGACTAACAGCTGTCAACGTCCAAGCAGATTGCTGAGCCCTTGAAAAACAAACAGACTAGTACTGAAGAAGGGCAGAGCCCAGGAGAACGACATTGTGGAGAAAGCCGCCTGATACTAAATGTCCTACAGCAAAGCTGGAAACGGCCTCTGAACCTTCCGCGGGGCTGTTTGATCTAGTAGCGCAGGCATCAGTCCCAGTCTCTGCCATTCAGACCTCAGAGAAACAGTGTTTGCGAAGACCGACAGGACGCTAAGACTTAGAGCATCCCGAACCTTCCCATTCGTTTTCCTTTCTTTCTCACCCCCCACTCCCACCCCAGGAGTCCCACAAGAACACCAAGCTACACAACCATAGCTTACATGCAGAGGACCCAGCTCAGACGCATGCAGGGTCTGTGATTGTCGCTTGAGTCCCTGTGAGCCCCTATGAGCCCTGCTTAGTTCATTAATCCTTCCCATTCTCGTTAACTAATGATCACTGAACTGGTCAAATCATTTGTTTATCATTAGTTAATGGTTATTAATAACTGAATAACTGGGACATTGTGGCCCATGTCTATAATCCCAGCATTCAGGAGGCAGAAGCAAAAAGATTACAAATTTCAGGCTAGCCTGGGCTCCACAGTGAGGCCATGTCTCAAAAACTCAAAGCGAGCCGGGCGTTGGTGGTGCACGCCTTTAATCCCAGCACTCGGGAGGCAGAGGCAGGCGGATCTCTGTGAGTTCGAGGCCAGCCTGGTCTACAGAGCGAGTGCCAGGACAGCCTCCAAAACTACACAGAGAAACCCTGTCTCGAAAAACAAAAAAAAAAAAAAAAAAAAACTCAAAGCGAAGAGGTGGGGGAGACTCAGAGGATAAAATGCTTGCCGCACATGCATAAGAACAGTTTGCATCCCCAGCACTCATATTTAAAAAAAAAAAGCTGAACACCAGGGCACATGCCTCACCAGGAAGACAAAGAAAAGCAAAGCCCGAGGACACTGGGGACAGCCAGCATAGCCAAATCAGTGAGCTCCAGGTTCAGTGAGAAATCCCGTTTCAGAACACTGGGTGGGAGTGACTGAAGACAGCCCTCTGCATCTGCCTTTGCCTACACATGTGCACACATATTTGCACTTACACGTGAAAACATACACCGGGTTCTACAGTTAACATATAAGTCACTAATAACGTAATACATGAAACTTAGTTAAGCAATAACCAATAATATTTAAAAAATATGTTTAGGGGCTGGTGTACAGCTTAGCTTACATGGAAAAAGGGAGAGGGGTTCAATTTGGTAATTCCTAGCAAAATTAATTTTAACCTAGGCTATGAACCTGAGCCCCTGTTAGCACTGTTCAATATAAATATAATTACAAGCTCCATAGATCACTTTAAATTCTAGAGTAGTCACCTTTAAAAAAAAATCCAGCTGGGCATTGGTGGCTCACGCCTTTAATCCCAGCACTCGGGAGGCAGAGGCAGGCGGATCTCTGTGAGTTCGAGGCCAGCCTAGTTTACAGAGCAAGTTCCAGGGCAGCCTCCAAACAATACAGAGAAACCCTGTTTCGAAAAACAAACAAAAAAATCCAATAAAGTTATCTTTAATGGCACATATTTAATGCCACAAACTCTAAAAGTTTGTCATTTTAACACAATAAAAATTTTGAAATTTTGACAAATATTTTACGATTGCCTATAAGCCTTTGAAGTCCACATAAAATACCACACACCCAGTCTGCCATTCTGCTCTGATAGCTCATCCAGTGCAATAAATAACACAAAACTCAGTCCTTCTGAAAACGAATAGGAAAATGATTTGCCCTGTTTCTGGTGTTTTTGTTGTTCTCATCTACCTCAATGTAAATCAGATGCAATTGTAAATTGAGTCACTGAGTCACACTGGCCAGCTTTCAGAAGCTCAGGGCACAGTGTGTAGAGGCCATGCCCATGACACTGGTGCTTACGTCTAACTACTCCAAGTCTGGTGTGGTTCCCGTCTGGAGACAACACAGGAGGCTGGGCAAGGCCTCTTCACCTACCTTGCAGCAGCCGTTCCTTGAATCACTTCGTATACAAAAACTCCAGAACTCACATCAGGGAAATCTGGATCTTGCCTCTTCATCTCTTGAAGGAGGCTGGGAACAGTATGGAAGTTAGCAAACACAACCATCCCCTGAGGCCTGAGGAAAGACTCATCCTCTCACAGCCTATCTCCTTCCCCATCTCTTCAGCTGGAGCCTGGCAGGCACCCAGGCAAATCCCACCCAGCCAATCGCAAGCCACCCCTGCCGTGTGCTGTCTCCTCCTCTAGGCCAACGCTTTGCATCTCTGGACGTGATATGTAGCTCAGCCATAATGAAAGACATTGGTACTGGCAAAGGGAGACACAATAAAGTCTCAATAGAGCCTGTGGTCACAAGGGTCCCCTTACTGCTGTCCAAATGCTTTTGTTCTCTTGGTAAGACTGCCAAGTGATGGCTTGTTTCCATAGTTACCCGGTGCTTACTTCAGGGTGAGGGGCAACATTCGAAGACCCAGGTATTTCTTCTGTGAGGGGGCCTTTCCTGGAAGGGAAAGTCATGATACATGATTCACAACACAATTTACTTCCATTTGGCACAGCTTAAGAGACACCTAAATCCCAGAATCTCTTGCTGGAACATCTGGCCTTGTACACTATCTGCTTCAGAGAACATCTGTGGCCAGCACAGGTGCATCTCCAGCCAACAGGTTCACTTGTAAACTGCACAACACAAGCATTTCTGTGGATGTCTCACATTTAGCTTTGTGCTTAGTGCTCTGAGAAGGTTACAGATCTAAGACCTCAACACCATAAGGAAAGCAAACTCCAAAAGGTGGGAGTACACATGAAAAACAGAGGGTCAGATCCCCCCAACTTCCTTCACCTTTCAACTGGCGCTCGTGATAATCTGCCAGGAACTGTCTGATCCGATCCGAGGGAATCGCAAAGGAGATTCCTGCAGTCACCTTCAGTGTGTTTATACCAATCACATCACCGTCCTGGGAAGGAAGGAGAAACTCGCCGTTAAGTCTCAGTGCTGCACAAAATGAACCATGCAACATCAGGACCAGTAGAGGGGAGTGAAACTAATCTCATGGGGTCAAAACAGGAGGGTGACGGGAGAAGCAGATGCTGTCTTCCAGGGCAATTAGGGTGATGGCAAGGAAGAGGTGCTTTACAGATACAAACATTACACCTTTCCCCACCCCCATTCCCACCCCCTCCCCCCCTTCAAAAGGTCAGGGCTATGCTGGGTATTGGCGGCCCGCCTTTGATCCCAGCAGGCGGATCTCTATGAGTTCAAGGCCAGCCTGGTCTACAGAGTGAGTTCCAGGACAGCATAGCCCTGGTGGAAGTCTGAGTTTAGTCTCCTGGCCTTTTGGTAACTATCCAGTGACAACAGAAAACACATAAAAGAGGAAAACTCTAAAGGGAGCTGCAGCCAGGGCCCTGGTGCTCTTGGTGAGATGAGACCAGCAGGATAAATCCATCACAGGCTCTAAACGTTTTCCTAACCATTTACTTAAAACCCAGCAATAAAAAGCGCCATTCCTTAATCCCTCCATGAGAGCAAGCACCCAAGTCTGCGTCACAGATTTTGAAACACATTTCAAGTTAAGAAGAAATAGGAAGAGCCAGGCGTTGGTGGCGACGCCTTTAATCCCAGCACTTGGGAGGCAGAGGCAGGCGGATCTCTGTGAGTTCGAGGCCAGCCTGGTCTACAAAAGCTAGTTCCAGGACAGCCTCCAAAGCCACAGAGAAACCCTGTCTCGAAAAACCAAAAAAAAAAAAAAGAAGAAATAGGAAGCAGCAAGGAAAATGGCCACTTACCAAGTTCACCAACGGCCCCCCGGAATTCCCGTGCTAAAGACAAGTTGAGAAGGTCATCAGTTAGCAAATAGATACATTTCTCCACATCTCTCCACATCTTTCATACATAGTTGCTCATGGGCTTTACCAGAGCAGCCTGCATCCCCAAGGCAGACAAAAACTGAGGCCCTCACCCTCCGGATCCTAAAGTCAGTGTGGTACAGAGCAAAGCAAATGGACCCCCGTATGGTACCACAAAGGTGACCTCTGTAACAAGCCACAAGTATGGGTGCCAGTTATATCAAATCAAACATCCGGCTCAGCAGCAGGGCATTGCAGCCCTCCCTTAGGGATGACCTCTGAAGCTGTCTTCTCCCTGCAGCCTAGCAGCATCGTCTGGGCTGAGAACAGACTCCCGGTGACTCACGTTAATGATGGCGTCGGTCTGGATATAGTCTATGTCTGAATCCTTCAGTCCCAGCTCTCTGCCACCTCTCTGTGTGGTGCTGACAATCCCCGCAGTCACCGTGTCCTGCAGAGAAAACGGGCTGCCCAAAGCCACCACGAACTCTCCAGCCCGGAGATCAGACGATCTCCCTAGCAGCAACACAGGAAGGTCAGTCTGCACATGGGGGGGGGGGGCACAAAGAAAGAAAAGATGGAAAAGAAGAGCGCAGTCAACCAGCACCTGCTGCCAGCTGACCCCGGCCTGAGCCAGTGCCCTCCCTCCTGCACAGGGTCCTGCCTTCCTTCTTTCTCAGATGCAGATCCCACCAAACTCCCCCCTTTATTAAGATAACTGACATCATCTCTAAGATCGAAACTTGGAGTTCTAGCTGCTAGAGAAGTGGCTCAGGGGTTAACAGCACCCTCTGCTCTTCCAGAGGATGCAAGTTTGGCTCCCAGTCCCTATGCTGGGCAGTTGACAACCACCCCTAACCCAGCTCCAGGGAATACAGTTTCCTCTTCTAGCTTCCATGGGCACCTTGTATTCACTTTCACAGACACACATACAAGTACACATCAATAAAAATAAGATAAACTTTAAAACTGAAGTTGTATTAAAAAATTACTATTAATAAGTGATCGGCGAAATGTCTGTGTTAGCTCACTTAACACTATTCCAACTCAGACATTTATTGTCAGAGTGAAGTCACGAACAGGATAGAGATCACCCGGAATGGCACTCCTCAAACTGTACTGTGGACATAAAACCCCTAGTTGTTTATCAAAATGCCGGTTCAGGTAAGAACCTGGGTGGGTCTCAGATCCAGGATTTCTAACAAGCTGTCAGATGCAGACCACAACTTGTACAGCAAGGACCTCCAAGTGTAATTAGCAAGTTTGATTGCATTGCAAATGATTTCCCCCTAAGTTGCATTTGTTGGAGAAAGAATCACAGGAGGGAGAAGGGAGGCAGGGTGCCACTAGACAATTAATAGAGATTGTTGGGGATTGATGGGTAACAGAAGGAAAAACACAAATGGGGAGTGAAATCCTTTGGCCAGGCCTCCTTCCACAAGGCTCACAGCTTGGGTTTCCTATTCCCCACAGTTGAACACCTGACTTCGGACTTGACCTTCTCATCCCTGCAAAAAAGACTGGAACCAGGCTGAGTGGACCCTTGGACCTGACCAAGCTTACAAGGCCCTGTGGATGGGCCTAGAATCAAGGTAGGGGTTGGAAAAGTATTGGAGGTATACAAGGTCTCCCTGTTCCCCCAGCGTATGCATGCTGCAGAGGAATAGCCACTGTAGACCTCAGATTAGAGTAGTCCTATTGGCCCAATGGGGCTGAAGAGCTTGAGAGCCGGAGAGCCAGGCAGGAGCCAGAGTGGAAAGCAACTCAGAGGGATCTCCCCTGGACCTTGTGCTGCCCACCCAGGGTTGAAGGTTAAGAGGGCGAAGCTGAAACCGAACCCCCCAAGAGTCCAAGGACAAAGAAGCTCTGCAGAAAGAAACAGGGACAGTCTACCAAGCCAAGCTACTGAAGCCGAGGTGAATAATGCTGGGGTATGCCCAGGCTGATGTGGGGACACCCTGGGCATTCTCTTTGGAAAGCTGTCCAGTCAGACAACCATCTGCTGCTTTGAAAGTGTGCAACTGGGTCTCAGAGTTCTGTGAGCAGCAGCCCCTGCTACAGAGTGGGCAGAGGAAATGGGTAAATGAGAACCTCAGGAGGGAGGGGAAACAGAGACCCTGGTACAGGCCTGCATGAGGAAGTAAATGAATTTCAAGAACAGAGTGAATGTTAACCAGGAGATTTCGTCCCTGCAGTTAGAAGAAAGTCCGCCCTGCAAGAGATCAGTTTCATCTCCAGCAGCCTTGGCTGGAGGGGGATGCAGCCCAGCCTGGCTCTGTAACCCACTCCAGAAGGACAAACAATCAAGCCCTGACTGTTCCCAAAGGACGGAGTGTGAAGCTGCAGGCTCTCCCTTCCTTGGGCCTAGGGGGAGCTGTGTCCGTCCCTCTATACCAGTCCCATTGGTTCCCCAAATGTAGGAGTCTGGACTTTACCCTCCTCTATTCTGCCATGTCTTTTCTCGAGGTTAAGCCTCTCCTCCCTTCCCTGCCCCCACTCCGGGTTCTCCTGCACATTCCAGACTGAGTCACCTGCAGTGCCCAGGGATGGGGGTAGACCAACGGAGGGAGACAAAGAGAATCTGGAGTCTGTACCCCAGCAGCTTTGGGGACTAGGTTCTTCATTTACTGAGGAGGGGTTGGAAACACAACAGGTAGGGGGCAGAAGTATGAAGGGGAGTGGGGAGGGGGACTTGAGGGAATGTGAGGTTGTTATACTCTAGATTTTAATCTCCACATCACTTTGTTCTAGGAGGAGGAGGAGAAGAAAAACATACCTTACATACAAAGAAAAGACATGGTAAAGGGATACAAAAGGAAATACCAGCAAATAAACTGTGAAATCCCCAAATGTGAAGACCCAGCCTTAGCTCTCAACTACTCACATTTGGCTCAATCTTAATCAGCGCAAGATCCAGTTTATGGTCGACGTCTTTGACAGTGGCTTCATACTGGGCCCCACTCTGGAGCTCTACCTGGATCTTCTGATGGTTGGTGAGGACGTGGGCATTGGTGATGATGAGCCCATCCTCGGACACGATGAACCCAGAGCCACTGGAGGCAGGGATTTCCTGGTTGGTGAGAGGCGATCTGTCCCGGAACAGGACAATAGTGTGAGCTAAGGGCAGGAACTGGGGGAATCCAGTCATTGTGAGTCCCAGGAAGCCTCGCATTTATCAACCATAGCTTCAGGAGTTTTCTTAAGCATGTTCCTTTTCCCTGTCTCCTTCTAGTCTCTTCATGCATATATGAGCGGCATGTAGCATGCCCTGGCCATGTATCTCTTCTGAATACAACTAAGAGCTGGGACACTGCTTCCTCCTTCAAATAGGGCCAGAGTGGCAACCTGTGGGTCATCCGCTGCAAAGGGGGCCAAACCTGGTGTTAACGCTGTATAGGTCACGCTCCTGCCACCACCGTGTCAAAATCTAGCTCTTAGTTTCTACTACCAACTTGTGTAGTGAAACAGAACAAGTTTTCTGTCGACTCGGGTTTACTTGCACGCAAGTTATGGCCAGGACTAAAATGAGACCACCAAATGCTGACTAGTTGCTCCAATCAGCCTTAAGTTTTGCTTGTGGGGCATGGGGGAAGAAAGAAACACCAGCCACCAACATGCACGGATGTAGCTTGGATTTAGAAGCCAGAATCCTCCTGCTTGGCTCTTTGCCCTTTAGCAAAATAGCTCCTAATAACCGAAGACTTCCCCCACATGCTTCGCACAAGCTCTACTGCCCAGCTGTACCCCAACCAACTCTTTGAACCTTGGTTTCCTCACAGCAGTTTTGTTGGTGGTGGTTTTTTGTTGTTTGTTTTTCAAGACAGGATTTCTCTGTGGCTTTGGAGCCTGTCCTGGAACTCGCTCTGTAGACCAGGCTGGTCTGGAACTCACAGAGATCCACCTGCCTCTGCCTCCCGAGAGCTGGGATTAAAGGAGTGCGCCACCAACGCCAGTCTCCTGGCAGCATTTTTTAAGGATCAAATAATGCGCAGTCATCAGGTGGGGTAGTTGGTCCCAGAGCGTGACCTTTACCTGCGGAATAGCTGCAAGTGAACCACAGATGGCGCCACCTTCTCCACCACCGCGGCGATAAAGTTATACTTCCTCCGGAGCCGCCCCGCACTTTTGGTCTCTGGGAATAAACGGTTCATGGTGAGGGCAGGCACTGCTCCCTGGATGCAGGTGTCACATCTCAAAATTCCCCAGCAAGTCTCCGTCCCCCTTCCTCCGCAGACTAGTAAATGAAAGGAGCTGGCCTGGCATACCAAAGGGAAGAAAAGAAGAAAGAATCCCCGTGGCAGTAGAGACCACATTAACCAGGCAAAACACCAGGAACAACCACAACAGGTTGAATCTTTGGAACTGGCGAAGGAGGGCCAACCGAGCCAGCGAGCGAACTCAAGCGCACCCACTTCATCTTCTTAGGAAAACTCAGAAGTGTCGGGGGCGGGGGGGGGGGGGGGTAGGGTGCCCCGCGCCTTGCTCACCTGTGTCCCCGCAGCCTCCCTTCTGTACAGGCACTGCCGGGGGTGAGCCCCGCAGGCGTGCGGCTCGGTTCTCCCTCCGGAGCGCGCACAGACTGGGATAGGTGCGCCCGTCGCTGCCGCACACCGCCGCGCCCTCCACGCCCTCCACGCAGCCGCAGGTGCCCAGCCATGCGCCCCCCCGCAGGCTCCCGGGAGAACGGGGCACCGCAGCGCAGCCCCGAGACGCACGGCCGGCCCCGCGCCCCGCCACACTCCTGACCCTCAGCCGCAGGGCACGCGTGGCAGCAGCCGCAGCGGTCGGGTACCGGCGCCGTGCCGGTCGAGCAGGTGGGCAGTGGCGGGCAGCGTGTGGCATCGCAGACCTCCGGACAGGGCATCGAGCCCCTGGACCTCCTGGCCTCTGCCCAGGGAACAGGCAGCTGCAGCAGCAGCCACAGCAGGAGAAACTGAACCCACACGGCCCACAGTGGCTGGGAGCTCATTTTGTTCCCTGTCCTCTTGGATTCTGCTTTTCCAGTTGCTTTTCCAGTTACTTCACTCAAAATTCACAACTGGTCTAAAGTGAGCAACACTTTTTCCTGGCCTGGGTGCTGCCCCTGCCAGACTCCAGACTTTATAAGGGTCAGCGTCTGGCTCACACACCCATATATCACCCACCACCCATGACACCCCAGTACCAGGGTCATCCACCTCTAAGCCATGAAGGGAGGGAGGGTCTACTCTAAAACCAGTCATGACACAAGTGACAAACGTGACCACCCACCCACGGCCACGAGATCTGACCAGAAAAACAAACAACCAGATTTCATATTTCACATGTTTTTATTACAAAAACAAGCAACCAAACAGTTTTAGAAAATTACGTTTTGCTACATACCAATTAGGAAATCAGGCAACATAAGAAGCCGGAGTTTCCATGCACTCAGCTCAGTGCTTTCAGAGGTGTTTCACAGCTCAAACACTGGCTCAAACGGGGCATGCCACGCCTTCATAAACAGAGGACCAAAGGGTCACGCTGTGTGTTTTTGCCAAACATTCACTGTATTCAAAGCCTACCTAGTATGAGGGACTGTAATTGACTTGGGGAATGGAGGAGCCTGAGGAAAACAGATTTTAGAAAGGAAAAGAATTTCAGAGTTAAAGGGGTGACATGGGAAACTTAATTTCCCAAACACTGCCATTTGCTACCAGATGACTGTTTATTTGGTTAACACTGAAGACATCAAATTCACTGCTCAACGACTGATCTGTTTTTTATTCAGGGAGTCATTTTAGTCCTGAAGAGAGTACATTTATATTTTAAGAAGGAGGGAAACAAAACCAGTTTGCTTCCAGTCAACTAAGACACTGGGCTTTAAATCTTTCCCTAGGAGCTCATCATTCTACTTGGGAGAGAATGTCTGCTTGGGAGAGAATGTCTGCTTGGGACAGGTGTCATTCCACTGCTTTGAGCTGAGGTCCCTCCCCAGGCTGTGGCCTTCCATATTCTCATCAGGGTTCGCAGAATGACAAAGGCACACTACTTTTGTCAACTATCACCTGACCTTGATAAACAAGTCCATCAAACCTTTCAAGGCTAATGGATGGCGAGTCCTTCAGGTGCTGAGAACACTGAATGAGAAGCCTTGCAGGAGGACCCACACATACAAGACAAAAAGCAGAACCTTTTATAATCCAGAAATCCTTTCTCATTTATCCACAACAAATGCTTAACCACAAACGCACACTGCATCACACCCTATCCCCCCCCCCCACACAGGGTTTTATTTTATACATTGAAAACTAAAAGTTTATGCACTGTCTTTGGCTCACATTAAAATACTGTGATAGGCTGGATATGGTGGTACATGCTTGTAATTCAAGCACTCAGGAAGCATAATGGAGGCAGGAGCATTACCAGTTCAAAGCCAGCCAGGACTGCATAGCAAGACTCCAGCAAAAACAAATTTTAAAGCGGGGGGAGGAGGGGATTGGTATAAAACTGGTCAGAAATCTGGACAGAAAGGGAATTCTGAAATAAGAATTAAGAATTTGAATGTCTCTGGGCTTCACAAGGATAATTATATTTTTCCAACACTGAAACTATATTATCTACACTCTAACTTGGAATTCCTGTGTATTGGCCAGTTAGAGTCACGGAAACACTGTGCTGTCCCTTTATTTACATAAAGTAAACTGCATTGGGTTTAATCTAAGGACAATCTCAAAATACTTAATGAAACCTATCAGCTTTCTATAATGACCAGTTACTGAGGCAGTAACAACCTAGCAAACGGTTTATAGAAGAGAGACGGACAGATTTCGCAATTTAAACACCATCAGATGACATCATCTCCATGAGTCAGGGGACGAGTAAAGCCCGTTCCCGAGTTCCTAACTTATTTTCATTAGTTCCTCATCTCACATTAAGCAATTCTGTTGAGCAGCCAAAGAATTTTCTAGAGAAAGATTTTAAGTTGAAGCCAGAGACAAAGGGCTTTTAGATTTTGGACTGGCTTTTGAAGTAAGTTATAACCTTGGTCACTCATAAATAAATAATCCCCAAACCAAAGAATTTATGAAAACCAAAATACACCAAAGTTCTTTTTAAAAGTAATTAACAAAGGGGTGGAGGGGAAAGATAGAGAACAGAAAGAGAGCCAGTGGTTTTTGTGTTTTAGGTCAGGAACACATGGCCAAACTTAAAGTGGGGGACAGCTCCCACTCGATAAGCTCAGGAGTAGTCAGTGTGGTACCTCTTCAGGGTCACAGCGCAGTCGCATTAGAAAGAGCACACACACTTCCTCTCACACAGAGACTTATGCCTGTTTTTCTTTAGCATTGACTATGGACACAAAGAGCAGTGATTGGCTTAAATAAGAATGCTTCCTAGTCTCTTCTTAAAGCTTCAAGTTTCTAACTAAAAATACAACTAACTTACCTAGCTGATAAAAGTTACACAGGTTACACAGATAGGAATGAGCCCCACCCTCTCTCCTTTAAGAAGCAGCCACAAGTCTCCGGTAACAGTTCGCTGAAGGTTTATAGACAAATGCCCCCAAAGGCAATGGAAATAGTATCTTGTCCAATGGGAAAAGCCACACCCTAAATTTTGGGTGGAAATCCAATCTTCTGAACTCTTCTAGAACCCAGGAAATCCCTAGGCAACAACTCACCCTCTGATTCAGTTTCTTTATTCCCAGTTTCTATTCCATGAAAAATAATCACTATAGAAAACAATCATCTTTGTTGTCTCTCCACTGGGGAGTACACAGGATCTTATCAGATCAAGCTGGGGTTCATTTACCAAGTAACTAAAAGAATAAAAAGCAAGTCCATCAGCAGGGTGCATAAGATACAAGCAAGCAATTAACATTAGACAAAGACGACCCATTCTAAAAGAACCGTTGAGACAGGGATTCAAGATTTGCTGTGCCAAAGCAGGACCACTCTCCTGTCTAGAAATCAAAGGTGCTTCCTGAAATAAACAATTATCCAACTCCTCTCAGTAGTGGCTTTTCATGAAGCCTCTGAGATGGAGATCACACACACACACACACACACACACACACACACACACACACACAGAGGAATCATTCTACACTTAACCATCACACACACACACACACACACACACTCAAATAACATGGTTTCAAGGGAAGTGTCTGTTCTGGCCTCAGTGGTCCTACATTTTAACACTGATAACCCCATCACCGGGGTCTGATACAGAAAACAGACCTGTGGCTCTGTCACCCAAGTCTAGAGTACTTGGGGTCACAGAGGATCAAATGGACAGCATAATTCCCACAAATGGCTATGGCAGTTTAATTAGCTGTCATGAGTCATAAGAGGTCCCCTCTCCTCCCCTGGGAGGTGTCCTGAGGGGAACTGCCCAAGAAGACATTTTGAAGTCACTCCCCAGATTTTAAGGCCACCTCTCAGGTGGAGTCCAGTCAAGCTGGAACCCAAGATTCCCATACCCCGCTGCCTTTTTGTCCTGAAGGTAAGCATCTCCCTGATTCCCCACACATCAGCCAATAAACAGGGGTAGATGAAACCAGTTCTTCGCCTGAGATCCTGTATGTAGACTGGAAACAAAACCAAGAAAAATAAAAGAAATACAAATGGGGGGAGGGGCTTGGTTAGGGGTGAAACAAGACTAACCACCCCCAGACGGAAGTATTAAGATTAACCCCTCACTAGGAAACGGGGGAACGGGGGCATTCAGGAGGCAATGGAGTATGCCTGTGGGTCTAACCTAATGACTTCCCCCAATTAAATACACTGCATTGCTCATAACAATGAAAGACAGCTGGATGGGCCCCTCCACTGTGAGTGCCATTAGCCTCTGTCCTCCACCATGGCAGAGAAAAAGTCACAGCGCCCGCCATCTCTCCTGCACACCGCCGCACTGCGTGTCACACATCAGAGGTCCGTATGTTTTCATCATCAAGGTTGAACACAAATGGCTTCTCCTTGGGGTGCTGGGGCTCTGACCTGTGCCTGACTCGAGAACTTGCCAGCACCCCAGCAGCGTTGCTTTCCCCAGGGTGAGGCATGAATAAAGAGTCCTCTGGAACATTCTCAGCTGACAGCAGCTTTTCCCCAGCCTGGGGGACAGGAGTCCAGGGTTGCCAAGAGGAGGCCACAGAAGGGGCCTTACAGAGAGCCCTTTTTTCTTCCGCTGCTGGCCGCCTCCTCAAGATGGAGTTAGGCCCACTTGGGAGGCTGGAACTTCCAGGTCGAGTCAAAGAAATGGATCTAGAGAAGGATGGTTCCTAAAGGCAGAAAGAGAAGAAAAAGACAAAATAAGGGATTTTCCATGCATTGTTTATCCCACAGTTTCGTGAAAATACCCACCCAGGATCACCAACTCAAACAGGGACACTTGGCTACAAAATCCAAGTAAGTGCATCGGCGTCAGGAGCACCTGTAGTCCCTGCTCCCCAGGAGCCTAAGCGGAAGGCTGGCTTGAGCTATGAAGTTCAGGGATAGTCTGGACTACACAACAAATTCAAAAAGAATATAAATGCATTTCAAAAGTAAATAAATACATAAATAAGTAAGGACATCAAGCAGAATTCAGCACACATGTTTGGAGATCTGCTTGACACTGGACTTAGAGGACACATTAGAAACTTCGTCTCTCTGTCCAGCCCAACCTCGTGTCCACCAACAAACCAAAGAGGAGGAGAAAAAATGTCCCCAAGTAAACAGAAAGAGAAAAACAAGTGAGCCCGCTTATGGTTCAGCTGCATTCATGGCTGGGCGGCCTGCCTACATAACCAAATAAAACACGCCCGTTCAAAGCTAATTTATCTTTCAGCGGACACTGTGACACAGACAGGAAGTGACTTACTCTGGGGTGGCACTTGAGGGCCTGGACAGCTGCTCCAATCTCCTGAATCCAGCTGTGCATGTCTTCGGGGCTGTCTGCCTGCAAAACATCCACAACACTTACACACATTTTTGGGGGTGTGACTTCAGCTTCCAAGTCTCTGGCTCAAGTTCATAAAAATCACATCATTCGGGCTCAAAGGACCTTGGAAACCATGTAGCCCAGTGGCTTACAGACTTCTGAGGACACCCCCCCACAATCTCTCTCTTGATACCCCCTAAGTAAAACTGCTTAAAGTGAAGCTGCCCTAAGAGGGAAAGGGGTGTGGGGTAGGGGACACCCTAGCGCTCCATCTTCTGTCTAAACCCATCACCCCATTTTCACCCCAGACTCCTAGTTTTTACCCCAAAGGAAAATGAGGCCCAGAATGCCGCAGCCCCAGGTCTGAGGCTGGTCTAGACCCCACTCTCCTGGTCTCTCCCATAATTACCTGAACAGGAGATCCCTACTTTAAAATCCCAGTAAAGCAAACGCCCTCTGCAGACCCTCCCAGACCCTCCCAGACCATGTATGTGTGTCGCCAATGGAAACAGGGCCTTCCTCCAAGCACAAGCTACTTGGGTCTGTCCGGAAAATTCACCCAGCCTTGGAGGACAGTGAAGCTGAAGTGATAGCAGAGCTGAGGGAAGCGTTTCTCCTACCAACAACCTCCTCAGCCCAGAAGAGGGCAGCAGCCTCTCTACGGAAAGAGGAAGACAGAGGAGGCCCGGCCCCTGCAGGCAGAGCTTCCGGGTGCCTCCCAGCAGCAGGAAGTCAGAGTGCAAGTGAATACAGATAGCTGCAGAGGGCCCTTTGCAGTGGCTGCCGCAGAGTGGGAAACAAGGCTTAAGTTCCGCTGTCCCAGCACCTTCCCCTAACCGTCCATCCACCCGGACACAGAGTGTGTGTGTGTGTGTGTGTGTGTGTGTGTGTGAGCCCTACGCTCTCCACATGCTCCCCTCGCTTGTCCATACCCCAACCCGCTCTTTGAATTCTACCAGGATAAAGCAGGGCCGCTTTGCTTTTTGTGGTTTTGTGCTTCTTATTTTCTCTCAAATTTGTGTTTCTACCCCTTCCCATCAACCCCCAGACAGAGCCCCTTGGTTAGTGGTGTGCGTCACACACCAGCAAAGGTACTGTGTCAAAAAGAATGACGGAGGCCCGCAGTGCACAGCTCTAACACCTGCTGCCTGCTAACTTATTTATACTCGCCTCTCCCCCATGATTCTTTCTAGCTACCTGGCCATCTAGTAGCTTTCCAAGGAAAAGACAAATACACCCCTGCTCCAAAGACAGTAGCCAGAATTAGGTAACCAAACTTTTCCTAAGAAGATGAGAGAGCTCCTGTTCCCTAGACAGACCTACAAGGAAGAACTAAGTAGGCTGTGAGGTTCTACTCTTTGACTAGCAAGCACCCAGACAGTAGGACACACTATGTGTTAGTAATGATTGTTATTTTAACTATTCTATGGTAAGAGGGAAGCCAATAAACCTGAAATCCTACCATCATGGTCCAGCATGGTGGCACACACCTTTAATCTCAGCACTTGGGAGACAGAGACAGGCGGATCTCTGTGAGTTCCAGCCAGCCTCATTCACACAGGAATTTCCAGGCTAGCCAGGGCTATGTCGTGTGACTGTCTCCAAACAACAATAAAACACAATGCTTTCCACCACTATGGATTTATTCAATGCCCTCATCCTGAGATACTTTTCTTCTAATTACATATAAATCTATCCCCCAAAGGATCAAAGGCTGGGCTGGGTGTCAATGGCAGAGCACTTGCCTAGCACATGTAAAGCTACAAGCCAATTTTTGTGTGTTTCTTTTTTGAGACAGGATTTCTCTGTGTAACCGCTCTGGCTGTCCTGGAACTCACTCTGTAGACCAGACTGGTCTCGAACTCACAGAGACCCACCTGCCCTGTCTCCCAAATGCTGGGATTAAAGGTGTGCACCACCGAGGCCTGGCACAGACCACATTGTAAAAAGGCTCAAACAGGGTAACATGGTTGGTGGAGAAAAGGTTACTATGAATTTACCAAAAAAAAAGTAGATACTGCAATTGATCCCGCATGAAATGAAAGTGTATTTTATAAAGTGCCTTCAGTAGTTTTAACCACTATTCTATATTTTTATTTCAAAGTTATTTTTATGGGGGATGGAGAGATAGCTCAGTGGGTTAGAGCGCTGCTGTGCAGGCAAGAGGACCTGAGTTTGAATCTCCAGGACCCATATAAAAGCTGAGCATCTGCATATGTCTGTACTACTAGTGTTGGGAGGGACCAGTGCATTCTGGGGGCTCACAGGCCAGCCAGGTTAGGTGAAATGCCAAGTTCCAGGTTGGGTAAGAAACTCAAAGTGGAGGGCTCTGAGAGACAGCTCAGCAGTTACAAGCATGGGCTGTTCTGCTAGAGAGCCCAAATTTGATTCTCAGCACCCACATGGTGACTCACAGCGGTTTGTCACTCCAGTTCCACTTGATCCAGTGCCCTCTTCTGGTCACCACGGGTACCAGACACACATGTGGTACACAGGTATCCATGCATGTAAAGCACCCATACATAACAAATAAAATGATTAAAAAATAAAGTAGAAGTCGCCGGGCGGTGGTGGCGCACACCTTTAATCCCAGCACTCGGGAGGCAGAGGCAGGCGGATCTCTGTGAGTTCGAGGCTGGGCTGGACCAATAGCCTCCAAAACAATACAGAGAAACCCTGTCTCGAAAAACCAAAAAAAAAAAGTAGAAGTCAATAGAGAAAGACATTGACATCCTCATGTGGCCTCTGCACACATATCACAGGCATGTGCCCCACATATAACACATGAACACATGCAACACACATGTACCATCATTTAAAAATATTATTCAAATAGAAAAGCAAGTATCGTGTTTGATTCCCATACAAGAAATAAATATCATTTCGGAGCTGAGGTCCATCCAGCCCAGGTGATCTACTAGGAAACCGAAAAGTGCCCAACAGGGGGCAGACAGAGGTTTACCCTTGATGGCAGTCTGTAAGAAGAGGGGAACAAACTCCCGAAATGAATTCTTTCAACCTGTGTTTCCACTGCCATCCAGTGAGCTTCCTAGCATCGGATGAGTCCAGCACTAACAGATGCGGTGAGTGACGGCGGGCGTCAACAAGAGACATGCAGTTTCTACCTCTGGTTACCACTCTAACCCAGCAGTGCCTCCATCAATTGACCTCCAACCTCTTCCTTTCCCAAATGAACCCATCCCATCTTTAGATAGGGCCCGATAATGGGTGATTGTATAAATTGTACAGTACATAGTTTTAGGACAGCAGTTCACAGCCTTCCTAATGCTGAGATCCCTTAATACAGTCATGTTGTAGTGACCCCAACCATAAAACTATCTCCATTGCTACTTACTAACTGTCATTTTGCTTCTGTTATGAATGGTAATGTAAAATCTGATATTTCCAATGATCTTAAGCAGCCCTGTGAAAGGGTGGTTTGACCTCCTTGGCCTCCCAAGGTGTCCCGGTTGGCCCATAGGTTCTAGGAGTGCTCTTCACCTTAGAGTCTGAGTTATGAAGTAACTACCCAAGAGTTCTCGCTTCACACTCTGCAAGTCCCTTGTCACTCTTCGTATCGGTACAGTTGTCCTAGGAGTGAGCTAAAGACTATTTCACAGAGTTCCCATTTCTAGCAACAAATACTCCTGCTGATAAACTACCAATACCCCAGGCCCTCTATGACTAGGAAATGCAGAAATGAAGACCCTGCTCTGTATTTCAAGGACTGGAGGTCAGATTATAACTGGGGAGTTGCAGGAGACTGACATCAGGACTTCCCACATTCCAGACAAGAGCTAAGCCACGGAGTAGCACCCCAGCTCTGAAATTTCACCTTGCCCAGAACTGAGAAGTATCTACCTGCTGACAAGACCAGCTCAGTGTACCTTTCCACCCATGAGAAGCCTGACTGCGACCCAGATCTGGTCACCATGATCCAGATTCCAACATTTCCAATCACCCCAGGTTGGTCACAGCAGATTTTTTTTAGTTGTGGCCATACCCTCTACACAGTGGTTCTCAACCTGTGGGTCATGGCCTCCTGGAGGATCATATATCAGATACCCTGCATATCAGATATTTACATTATAATTCATAATTGTAGCAAAATTATGGTTTTGAAGTAGCAATGGGATAATGTTATGGCTGGGGTCAACCCAACATGAAGAACTACATTAAAGGGTCACAGTGTTAGGGCGGTTGAGAACCACTACTCTACAGCATAGGCTCTGGGCCTGGCCACTCAGCACAAGCAAGTCTCGAGTACCAAATACCTCTCAGTTGGTTCCATGCCTCACTAAGTTCCTGATTCTGAATGTATCATTTGCCTTTGAAGCTCCTGTCTCCTTGTGGGCAGATTGGGGATGAGGCACAGGGAGACTATGGAGAATGAAGTGATATGCTTTTGGCTAGCTACTGCTCAGCAGTGTCCCTGAAACATCTGAGCAACAAGAAGCTACTTTCCATGAATTGCTAAGAGTGTTAGAACGTGAGCCCGCAGAGTGCAGGTGGTGCATCTAACCCTGCTGCCACGGCATGTCTCTCCTGCCCCAGAGGACTCAATTCTTTGGAACCATACGCCAAATTAAACCCTTTCCTCCTTGTTGCTGTTAGTCATTGCATGCTATCACGGTAACAGACAAGAAAGCAATACACTTAGTGCTAATGCTGCTTTTCCTCACAACTGCTTGCCCTCTGTACTACAAGGGAAGTTGGCAGGTGTCAACCAGCACAAAGCTCGGGCCACACCTCTGGCTGGGACCTGTCTTCATCACTCCGAAATTCATCGCTTTCCCTCATCCATCTAAGTCCAACCCCCAAGTCCTTATCATGGCCTTCAGATTGCCCTTTTCTTATCTGCCCTTCATGATATCTGGGGTCAAATAGTCTTCAGGGTCATTAGAAGGGCTGGGGTTGAGTTTTTCATCTCCATTTTATACATGTGGAAAATGAGACTCTGTATATTCAATAGGTTGTCTGAGTCCAGGAGCTGTTTCTTATTGCTCTCATCTTACCTTTGACTTAAGGACCAAATATAAACTTGCTGTCAAAGCAGACAGGGCAACGAGACTGCCAATAGCTGCATAACCTACCTCATAGCTCTCTATTCCCTTCCACAGGTTCTTGTCATGGGGCTATTCCCTCTCCTGGCCCCCTCTCCCCCTGCGTCCTCTGGTCTCCATCTTCCTTCAGAACCTTTCCTGCCTTTCTCCCAATGGACAACAACTGACAGCCACCATCCTAATGTCAGTAGTCACCGTTCTGTGGAGGAGTTACTTTGGTTTTGTTTATTAATTCCCTTGTCCCCTTTGGGTGGCTTATTTTGTACTGGTGGTTAAGTACATTAGGATTCTTCAACTTCTGCCACTCATGAGGGGATTCCCTTGATCTCCTTGATGTTATTTCAATTGCAAATGCTAAGGGCTAGTCTTTGTGAAGTTCTAGACCAGTTCCCACCAACATAAGTATTACACAGCTTAATTTACATCGTCTAGCAGATTTCCCTGTGCATCATCTACCAAACATGTGATCTCAGCTACTTGATTACTTAGCTTAAAGATCATTTCTGTCTAATCCGTGAGCCCAGCCTCAAAACTAGACCCTTGACCATATTCTACAAATATCAACTCAAGAGCTAGAGACTTGTATTAAAGTACAGCCTAGTCCTTGTGTCTAAATGGCAGAGGCACAGGAGAACAACGAGATTTAAGAACAAGGTGAGCCCCTCCATGATCCAGTCTGCTCCCCTGCCTCCCCTCTGCCACTTCTTCCTGGACAGTGTGCTTGTCCCGGTGAGTATGGCCTGAAGACGTCCGCATCAGCCAGCATGGCTGCTGGCCTAAAGTGGAAAAAGAACAGAAACACAAGACCTATTGCTCAAAGAATGAGAGACATGCCTCATCCTTTTGCAAGAGGACTTGGCGGGGGGGGCTTGGGAAGCCTCTAAAACTCCACTTGGGAAGGCTGCGTATTTCACCACTAGAATCCCACATTAGCCTCACGCAGGGGACCAGCACACTTGGTGGGCTATGGGGTAGTTTAGGCTGAAGACTTGGCCCTGGAAGTCCTCGCTCTGCTTAGAAATCTGCCTGGCTAGCTGTTGTGACTTCATACTGGATTGGGAGGGCTCCAGATCTGGGGGTTGGGGGAGCTCCTGGTAAGTGAACGGTCAGAGCCCAAACAATGGCTTTCTCTGTGCAGCTGGCTGTGCACCTGTGCCCGCACAGGGCCCTCTGTGCCTCTGTCTCTCTGCACACAGTAAAGTCCATACAGAGGCAGGACTTATAAATACCCTCCAGAGCAGAAGTGAAACCACCCTCCAGTTCCCCTTTTCTCTGCTTAGCTGGAGCTCTGCAGCCGAGTGCAGCTGCTTCAGGCACACATCCTCAGGCACAGTTGATTGACCAGTTTGTAGTGTCCTAGGGGAGGGAAACTTCTGGCTAGCATCCTCCTTAGAATGAAATGGGACCCAGACTGACCACGGGACTAAATTGATCACTGAGAAACTACAAGCTAAAGAAAAGAGAAAACAAGGGTGGGGGTGGTGTTCACCCACATTTGTGGAGATGGAATGCTGGTCTTGGGGTGAGCATTTACCTGTACATAGAACGTCCTGGAGGTGGTTATGATTTCAAACAGGTTGTCCCTCATTAAGAGATCGCTAGGGAGGGAAAGAGAGAGAACATTATACCAGGAATTGTGAGTGCTTTATTTTGCACAGTATATCCTAAATTTGAAAATGACCCACTAATGCATCTCAAGACTTTATCCTCTCTGTGGGTAAGGTAGCCCAGGTTCAGAGACTTTAAATGCTATGCCTGCCCAAGGTACTAGAGTTCAGCAACCACACTGACTGAGTCCAAGCATGCCTCTTCTAAGGGAGCTAACACCATTTCTAAACCTTCCTTCCCCCTGGGCAGCAGCCCCACCCACAGCTCTGAGTTCCTGCTCTGGTCTCATTGCACTGTCCCAGGGGACAAGGAGCTAAAGAGAGAAACAGAAACGCAGAGTAAAACAGCTTTAATATTCATTCCCGGTGGCCTCATTGCGCTGTCCCAGGGGACAAGGTGCTAAAGAGAGAAACAGAAATGGAGAGTAAAACAGCTTTAATATTTGCTTCCCGGGAAACTGTTCTACACCCTTAGCTACCAGAGAAATGCAAATTTGAATTATTTGAGGATTTCCTCTCACCGCTGCCAGAATGACCCACGGCAAAGATATGGGGAGAGAGGAACCCTTATTTCCTAATGGTATGAACTGGTATAGACACTACGGAAATCAGTCTGGAGGTTCCTCGAGAGACTAAAAAAAAAAAAAAAAAAACGGCCATATAACCCATCTCTACTACTCCTGGCATGGTGCCAGAAAGACTTTCCATCCTACTGGGAAGACACTTGTACACCCCTGGCAATCACTGCGTTACTCACAATAGCACGAAATGGTATCAGCCTTGACGTCCATCAGCAGATGAATGGTACACAGGCACAATAGAATTTGTTTGGTTGTAAAGAAAAATAAAGGGGCTGGATAGATGGTTCATCAGTTAAGAGCATGCCCTGCTCAACCAGAGGGTCTGTGTTCAGTTCATAGCACGCATATAAGGAGGCTCACAACCACATGTAACTCCAGTTGCAGGGGATCTGACACCCTCTTCTGACCTCCCCCAGGTACCTACACATATGTGGCACACTCACACAGATAGTCTATATCCATATACATAACAAAAAAAATTTTAAAGAGAAAAATAAAATCATGGAGTTTGCAGAAAAACACATGGAACTGGAAATTATTATTTTAAGCAAAGTAACTCAGGCTGAGAAAGACTGATAGCATGTATTTTCTCTAACAGGTGGATCCTAGACTTCAATTTTTATATGTGTGTAAATTTGTATGTGAGGGTGAATAACACATCATGAAACTAGAAAGAACATTGAGGGCTGGCAAGATGGCTCCATGGGTAAAAAGAGCTTGCCACGTACCACCAAGTCTGGCTTGGCAGAAGGAGAGAAGCAACCCCTACACATGCGCATGTGTGTAAAAAGAGCTTGCTACTCACCACCAAGTCTGGCTTGGCAGAAGGAGAGAAGCAACCCCTACACATGCGCATGTGTGTAAAAAGAGCTTGCTACTCACCACCAAGTCTGGCTTGGCAGAAGGAGAGAAGCAACCCCTACACATGCGCATGTGTGTGTGTGCGATCACACATATAAGCCAACAAGCAAATAATGTGCAAAACAAATTGTTTTAAGAAAGGAGACCATAAAGGGGGAAACAAAGAGGTTGTGAGATGGGAAGCAGAGTGGGGATGACCGTGGGTCACAGGACCAGCATGGAGAGTGGGAGGAGAGGGGGGACAAGGGACAACAAAACACAGTATGTGTGAAAATGACATACTGGAACATATTCCTTTGTGTGTTTGCACAAAATACATTTTAAAATGAGTTTCCTTCGGTGGGGAAAAAAAAACCAGAAAAGATCTGCTTCTGTGGATAGAGTGTAGCTTAGTGGTGGTGCACCCACACCAAATAAATGAGTGATAGTAAGCTTCAGAGAGACAGACAGACAGACAGACAGACAGAGAGGGCATGAATTTGATGGAGATCAGAGAGGGAAATGTGGGGAGGTTCGGAAGAATAAAAGGGAAGGGAGAAATGTAAGCAAATTGCAATCTCAAAAAGAAAAGCACAGCAATCTTCAAGCGGGGTGTGGGTTTTGGAAGAGAAATCCGACTCCTGCAAGCAGAGGGTAAGAAGTAAGTGTTTGATGATGCCACAACCCCAGGTGGCTGACGTTGCTTTCTATGTCCACTGCCTGAAGTGTGCAGGCACCAGGAGGACTGCATGCGGAGTAAAGACCTAACTGCTACCAGGAAAAGCACCTGAGGAGGAGCGACTAGATGCAGGTAAGACTGCCTTCCATGTTAACGAAGAGCCTCGGGCAGAGGAAGGGTTGGTCACAGGCAGAATTGCCTGCTAGAATGAAAAGACACAAGTGACTTGGCCAGTGACATGCCCTCTAGGCAGAGGGGGGATAAGACTAGGTAGGGAGCATAGACCCAGCCCAAACACCAGTGAGAGGAAAAGCCTTTGTTACGTGTACTATAAAGATTGTCATTCCTTGAGTGGGGAATGGAAACAAAGATGCTTACTGATCACCATCAAAGGCAGCCTGAAGAGCAGGGATCACTTGAAATACATCCACCAACTCCTCCTCCTTCCTGAGCTACTGCGTAGGGATAACTCTCCATAAGGGGGAAAAAAACCGCCTCCAAAAGATCAGGCTGTGGGCAAGCCTGTAGGGCATTTCTTAATTAGTGACTGATGTGGGAGGGCCCATCCCATTGTGGGTGAGGCCTTCCCTGGGCAGGTGGTCCTAAGTTCTGGAAGAAAGGAGGTTGAGCAAGCCATGGGGAGCAAGCCAGAGAGCAGCATTCCTCCATGGCCTCTGCATCAGTTCTTGACTCCGTGTGTCTGTCCTGACTTCCTGTGATGATGAAAGTGTAATCCATATAAGTCCTTTCCTCCCCTAGTTGCTTTTTGGTGTTTTGAAACAACAACAGAAAGCCTAACTAAGATAGGGCTAAATTGTTTCACCTTCTAGATTATTCATGCAAATGCAGTAAGCCCCAGAATCCACTGCCCAGACTGCTGCTTTCAGTTCGTGTCATTTCAACAGCAATCATTGATGACAGCTGTCCTGAATTCCCCCAATGGCTCCAGAGAGGCTACACCATCCAACAGAGCCGAGGCCACAAAAGCCACAACCTTCCCTGTGGACTTCACCTCTCTGACTCAAGTCCAGTGTGACTCAGGCAGTTAGAGGTAGGGCAAGTTCTCAGGAGTCTCAGGCTGAACCCTACCCTAGCTCTCCAAGCTGGGCTAGCATGTCCAACACGCCTCATAGGCTACTCATAGCTACCCAGGCCCTCCAGGGTCAGGAGCAATCAGTGATCTCTCATGATCCAGCCATGCTGAGTTCTGCCCTCTGGAGCCACACTCAAGGTAATATCTAGCTATATCTACTTTCGTGGATTACCAATTATCCCTGGGTGCCACCCCAGTCTTCTGTACCCTCCAAGTGCTAATTGGAAAACTAGGTACAGCATTTCTGCTCCTGCTTCCCTGGATCAGACAGCATGTGTGCCTAGGTAGGGTGGTGCCATGCTTTCGCAGGAGGGCAGGATGCCTACTGCTGGTAGGTCCCCTCATGGCCTATAGGAGGGTGAGAGTTAAGCAGTCTGGACAGACTACAGACTCGTGGCCGAAAAGACATGTTTGGGGTCTGTTAAGGTTCACTTGTCCACAGGCGCCTGTATTTGGGGCCCAGGTATGGGACAGTCTCTTGTCAAGCCCTGAATCATGCTAAATACCATGCACTCAGAAGGTCCATTTCCTGGTGAGAAGAGGAACAAATACAAATATTTGTTTCTGCCAAGTGGTAGTAACATAAGGATGTTGTGAATCACCCCATGTGTTAACAGGGCATCAAGAATAAAGGAGGAAAGCTGGGCAGTGGTGGCCGCTCCTGTAATTCAGCCCTCGGGAGGCAGAGGCCGACGGATCTCTGAGTCTGAGGTCAGCCTGGTCTACAGAAGGAGTGCCAGGACAGCCAGGGCTGCACAGAGAAACCCTGTCTCAAAATAAACAAAGAAATAAAAACCAAAAGAGGAAAGGCACTGTGTCACCCACAAGGACTCCTAAACAGAGCCTGAAAAGGGGTAATGAACGCAGATTTAAAGAAGACAGAGGCTCTGCTCAGAATGAATAAGAAGGGGCTGGAGAGATGGCTCAGCAGTTGAGAGCACTGGCTGCTCTTCTCGAGGACGCGGGTTCAATTCCCACACCCATATGGTGGCTCCCATCGGTCTTCACCTCCAATCCCAGAGAATCTGACACCCTCACACAGACATACATGCAGGCAAAACACCTAAAATATTTTCATGAATAAGGAAAGGCAATTACCCAGACTTGACGAGACACTCATGAGTCTTGAGAACATCCTTGAGCAGTATAGTACGCAAGGGTTCTCTGTCCTGGTGGGAAGGGTGGAAGATGGACAGGTGAGGTTATGTAAATGGCCCAGTGACCCACACCAGCTCACCAACGCCCCTCTCTCAGAATCTTGGCTAAAACCAACCTGGTTTCAAAATAATCATTAATGGGGAGAAATCTAAGCAGTAGCTGCTCTGTAGCTCCGCCCCCACAGCAGCTGCCCAGTGGCTCCGCCCCCATGGCGGCTGACCGCGCAGAGGCTGGCAGCAGCCCGGGTTCTTTTAATAGCGTCAAAAAGAGACACGGATTGGACAGAGATAAGACGAAGAGGTGCCCTGGAAGTCTACGTGGGCCCGGTCTCTACTCATGCACAGTCTCTGCTTTGGTGATCTCTCGGGAGGGACGGAAACCTACTACCCACCTGCTCACACTTGAAGTAGCAGATGGTAAAGTCGTCAAGGGCAAAGAAGCGCCGTTTCCAACTCTTCCGCTGAAATGAAAAACAAGGAGCCAGACATTAAGTACAGGTCTCCAGCGCCAGGACTGGCATTGTCACAATATAAATGCCCAGGGAACCAGCACCATGGAAGCCAGGCTTTCCTCTTCATCCGGGACAAGTAACAGGAATAACGGGTACTGTGAAAGCAGTGAAAGGCTCAGGCCTCCATCTGAGCCCCGGCTTCCCAAGGCCAAACACCTCACTCTAACACCTAGGAAAAGCCATGGGTCACTCTCTGCTGCCACCAGAAGCTACTGCTGTGCTGGCTAGTTTTATGTCAACTTGACACAAGCTAGAGTTATCCGAGAGGAGGGAACCTCAATTAATACCTCCAAAAAAGTGGGCTATGGGCAAGTCTCCATTGAGAAAACATCTCCATAAGATCCAGCCGTAGGGCGTTTTCTTAACTGGTGATCAATGGGGGAGGGCCCAGCCCATTGTGAGTGGTGCCATCCCTGGGCTGGTGGCCCTGGGTTCTGTAAGAAAACAGGCTGAGCAAGCCATGAGGAGCAAGCCAGTAAGCAGCAACCTTCCATGGCCTCCGCATCAGCTCCTGCCTCCAGGTTCCTGTCCTGACTTCCTTCAGTGATGTATGTGGAACTGTGTTTCGTCTCGACAACAGAAACCCAGACTAAGTCAACCATGGGAGCTCACCCTCTTAGGAGCAAAAGTGAGAGGTTGGGAGGAGGGAAATTTGCCCATCAGTTTGCAGACTGCATCGGTTTGAAGGAAGGGAGGCTTCTTCACAACAGGGACAAGCTTTATTGGGGGCTAAAGGCTCCTTCCCAGTGGTGGTCAGCATAGAGGGGGGACATCTCCCCCTGTCATTGTCCTCTGCTGCGCCCACGCCCACTGGCGCCGAGGAAGCACCAGAACCCCAGGGGAGCCCTGTACTGGCACTCACCACGTTCCCCTGCTTCACACAGTAGCCACTCTTAATGAGGGGAGGCCCGGTGGAAGGACGGCAGCCTGATGTGGGGATGTAGCTCTGTGACCTCCGCAGGAAGGCGTGAGACCCTGGCTCAGTCCCTTCCTGCCCATCCCCACCATTCTACAAGGAAACAGTGTCGCTGTTAATGCTCCGGCCACTCCTCTAGGCAGCCCCAGCTCCTCCCAGCCTTCCCGCCACACCCCCAGCCTCTTTGATATATGTCAGTCAAAGAAATAAAAATTGACTTTGCTCCCAATCAGGCACTCCACTGAGTGTTTTCACAAAGCAGTCCCCAAATGGAAAGAGGGACTGCAGACTTGGGTCTAGTCTCACTCCCTGCCTCAGTCCACGCTTCCTTTAAGTTTTACAAGTGTCCGTTGCCTGGATCTTAAGCAGAAGCACACAGACCACACATCCTCAAGGTACCATGATGTCAACCTGTACATCGGCATTGGCCACACCCACCCTGCACTGTATTTTCGTGGTCACCCCTCTCCACCAGATCCTGCATCCTGTTGCTCTGTGCTGGTCCTTGGGCACAATGGATGCTCCTTTACTGCCCATAGCATCCCCAACCAATGGTACCTGGCTGATGGGTGTTTGCACCACCACTCCCCCGATGATCTCAGTCTTGTAGGCCACCTGAGGCTTCTTGTCTGGGTTGGGAGGAGCTGTTAGGTTTCTGAGAACTTCAGTGGCCAAGGGTAGGGTCCCAGCCTTGGGTACCTGGGAAGAAGAGAGGTATGGTCAGCAAGAAATAGAAAGCTTAGGGAATGGGCAGAACCACAAACAGGATGAGGATGAGTGAAAGGAAAACCTGATTTACTAAATGATGGTGAGAACACTCTCCTCTCCCCTCCAGCTCTTCCATGCATATCCATATCCGAATAGGAGGAACTCAGTCAGTAACCCCTTATACAACCTTACACAGTGACACACTCAAATGCATACATACATATGTACAAACACTTTTTTTTTTTTTTTGGTTTTTCGAGACAGGGTTTCTCTGTGGCTTTGGAGGCTGTCCTGGAACTCACTTTGTAGACCAGGCTGGCCTGGAACTCACAGAGATCCACCTGCCTCTGCCTCCCAAGTGCTGGGATTAAAGGCGTGTGCCACCAATGCCTGGCCACACAAACACTTTTATACACACACTATACACAGATATAGAAAGACACACGTGCAAATGCACATATACACATGTACATACACATAAATACACACACATAAACACATTTACACACACATACACATAAAACACACACAGAGGAAACTTACTGCATACCTATTGGATGAGCTAACCCTGATTAGAAAGCAAAGATCAGACACCAGATAGAACAGACATGAGCCCTCTCCCCTTGGCACTCATATGCTAAGTTAAGACTGGACAAAAAAGTCCCCAGAAAAACAAGGAGTTGGAGTATAAAAGAGCCCAAGGACCACCAGCACATAGCAACAGGATGCAAGACCTGGTGGAGAGGGGTGACCATGAAAATACAGTGCAGGGTGGTGTGTGTATACACACACACACACACACACACACACACACACACACACACACACACACCTTCCTGTGAGTGTCTGAGGAATTATCCCATATCCACAGTGCAGGGTGGTGTGTATACACACACACACACACAGACACACACACACACACACACACACACACACACACACACACACCTTCCTGTGAGTGTCTGAGGAAGCACCCCATATCCACAGTCCAGAGACAGCAAGACCCTTCCTCCACCAGCCTTGACTTACCCCTCCTTTCTGCAGGCTTACCAGGGTTTACCATGGCTAGATTTTACCCTGCTTGGGTCCAGCAACACAAATGCTGGAGGTATATGTATATATTCATCTACTAATATTCATGGGAACTCTAAGGTGTCTGGAAGAATAATTTGCTCCAGCGATGGGCATTTTTATTTGAAATCATTGGAAGACCAATATTTCTGGGTGCATGGGCTGGCTAGTCTTATTTCAACTTGATACAAGCTAAAGTCAGAGAGGAGGGAGCCTCAATTGAGAAAATGCCTTCATAAGATCCAGATGTAGCTGGGCATTGGTGGCGCACGCCTTTAATCCCAGCTCCTGGGAGGCAGAGGCAGGAGGATCTCTATGAGTTTGAGGCCAGCCTGGTCTACCGAGCGAGTTTCAGGACAGCCTCCAAAACAATACAGAGAAACCCTGTCTCAAAAAACCAAAAAAAGAAAAAAAAGAGATCCAGATGTAAGGCATTTTCTTGGTGATTGATGCGGGAGGGCCCAGCCCATGGTGGCTGTTGGTCCTGGGTTCTGTAAGAAAGCAGGCTGAGCAAGCCATGGGGAGCAAGCCAGTGAGCAGCGTTCATCCATGGCCTCTGCATCAGCTCCTGACTCCAGGTTCTTGCCCTGATTGAGTTCCTGTCCTGACTTCCTTCACTATGATGGACTACAATGTGGAAGTGTAAGGCAAATAAACTCTTTCCTCGCCAGATTGTATTTGGCCATAGTGTTTCATCACAGCCACAGAAACGCTAAGACAATGTACAACACAGAATTTCTAAGTTTTCAGCAAGCTGTGGTGGATTCTGCCTGACTTGCTGGGTTTCATTTTGCTGTTGTTCTTTTTTTTTTTTTTCTTTCCTGCCCTCAATGCAGTTTTTGCTATAGTCACTAAATATTCCCCAAGTTGGATGCTTGGTCCCCAGCCTGTGGCACTCCTGGGAAGCAGTGGAACTTTCCGGAGATGGGACAGAGTGGGAAAAGTTAGGTCATCGGGCACATGCCTTTGTGGGGATACTGGGACCTCAGCCCCTTGCTTTGTTCTTTGCTTCCCAACTACTGGGAGATAAACAGGTCTCCTATGTCACCTGCTCCACTCCCGCTAGCTTCCTGATCACAGGCCCAAAGCAGCAGGGATGCCCCATGATCTGCAAGAGCAATGATCTGCAACTGACCTCTCCTTCTCATAACTAGACTATTTTCAAGCATGTTGTCACTGTGCTGGGAAGTTAGCACATCTTTCCCCCTTCTCCTTCCTTCTCACCCTTCTCTATTTCATTTTTTAAAGATATTTCGATAGAATAGGAAATAAATTCTGCATTAGCCAAGTCCAGGAAGACAAGAGCACTTAACACAACCCATGGACAAGTTTCAAAGCTATTAAAGCTTTTAAATGGAAGAATTTTCCAGACCCGACTGATGGTGGGACTAGGAGTCGAGGAGGGTTCTGGGAAATGTAGTCAAGAGTAGAGGGTCACCACGTGATCCCAGGAGGAGCTGGTGCAAGTCTGGCGTTCTCGGTAAGATAAGACCTTATAAAAATATATATTAGTAACTATGGGATAATAATTAAGCCATTAAGAAACCATAGCAGACGGTCAACAGCTTCATAATTAATATAGCATCTGCATGTTCATTTGGGGCTGATAAGGCTCAGGGACCAGGCCGGTGGGAAGAATGCATGTTACACCAGACAAAGAAGAATATCCCCTAAATTAGAAAAAAAAGATAGATCTAAGTTCCTTCTCATATGCTCTCCTCATTCCCCAACTTCTCATAGTCAGCAATCCGTTTTCCAGCACAACACTGAATCAGCATCCCATAATTACCCAGAACATGACTGATAGGAGCCCCTCCCAGGAAGCACAAAGGGGACAGGACACTCCGTAAACTTCCCCTTGAACTTGATGCAAACTCGAACTCTCAAGCTAACTTGTTGCTGTCAGCCAGTGGACAAGAGGAGGTTAGAGAGAGCTGGGTCTGCACAGGCTCCGGGGCAAGTCCCTGGTGCCTTCTAAGTTCTGCTCCTAGCCCTCTGAGGCCAAACACTGGGGCATGCCACACTCACTACCAGAAAGAACAAAAAGTACACGTACGGTGATCTTGCTGGCTTGGTTCAAGGCTTCAACCCAGTCCTTCAGATCTTTCTGGTCATTGGCTTGAAGAAAGTATCTCTGAGAAAGGGCATTGATAACTGTAAGAGTAAAGAAGAAGCAGAGAAAAGGTTTCAGGTCAGAATCCTTGGACCACAAGAGCCCATGTCAGGGATGTATGAGGTGACAAGACCCGTAAAGGCTATTCAGCAGATCCAGAAGCTACCGCATGGTAGTAAGTCACTTGCACATTCAGAAACGGCAGACCACAGCAACTCGTCCTTAAAAGCAGGGGTTCTCTCATCAGCCACCAGAATGACACTGCAGTAAGAGTGGCTATTAGTCTGCCACCAATAAGACACTCATGCAGCATTGCACATCCGTGACCTAGGCTACATACAGGCCTGCTGGTACGCTAACCTGGGAGCCTAGTGCTGGCTTCTACCAGCACAATCTTGTCTTGTCTGTGCCTGGGAGATGGAGGAAGGCTTGCTGGAGATCAGGTCTGTGGCCTTGACCTCATTTTCAACCTGTTCTTCACGCTGACATTTCCTTAGCCAACAACTTACCTCTGAATTGTATTATTATTATTATAATTAATTATTGTTTATACATTACTAGATGAGCAGACAAAAAAAAAAGAGTGATTTCTGAATCTAGCAATGGTATTTGGAAGAAACGGGAGGAAGAGTGCACCAGTCTGAGGTGGGGGGAAGTGGGGGGTTCACATCATCCCTCTAGCATCAGCGTGAAGTTAAGAAGCCATTGCAGACGAGACTGAGAACTCCTGTTTCGTTCATATAACAAATATTTGTTGAGTACCCACTATGTGCCAGCAGCCATGCTGTGTGCTGAGAACGTGCAGTGGCAAAGCAAGCAGCAGCTCTGCCTCCCTGAAGCTTGTGTCCAGAGCCTCCCGGGACACAGAGATGCCCCAGCATTGGCTCATAGCGACGGGGTCGCTGGACTTGCGGGCAGCATGGAGGCACTGGTGGAGTGGTTCTGCTTCCTGTGCCACTAACTGCCACTTGTTTGGCAACCTTGAGACCCTCTGCATTCCTTCCTTCATTTTAATGCTTTCCTGCCTATCTCCCTTCTCTCAGACCTCCTCGTTTCCTACATCTCTGCTCAACTCTAAAGTGAAGGCTCCCAGAAACTTCTATGAGGTATTTCCTATCCACCTTGTGGCATCAAGAAAACTGAAACACAGCCACAACTGATAGCTTAGCCTGTAATCTCAGCACTTTGGAGTCTGAGGGCAATAGAAGCAAAGTTCCAGGCAAGCTTGGGCATGGAGGGGGTGGGGGGCAGGGGCGGGGACTAGGGCAGAGGGTGAGCAGAGGCCAGCCTGGCTAAAACATGGCTGGCCCCTGTGTGCCTGGTCACAAGTTATTAGTAATTCACAGTGGTATTACTTGGCATCCAGAACATTGCTATTATCTAAGCCACTCACACACACAGGACACAGTTCACATGGGACCACAGGGCTGTCTTCCATGGAAAAGAAGTCACATGTCTGTGAAGAAAGCCCATTGTGGCTCAGTACTTACCGAAGCAGAATGGAGTTTTGGGTTTCTGTTTTGGGGTAGCTATGCTCACCTATATCAAATAAAGACAAAAGAGACATGAATTTCTTTCCAACAGTATGAAAAAAAATGTTTACTTGGAAATATTTCACACATAAAAAGAACGTATCAGCTGGGCATTGGTGGCACACACCTTTAATCCCAGCACTCAGGAGGCAGAGGCAGGTGGATCTCTGTGAGTTCGAGGCCAGCCTGGTCTATAGAGTGAGTGCCAGGACAGGCTCCAAGCTACACAGAGAAACCCTGTCTCGAAAAACTAAAAAAAAAAAAAGCATGTCAAATGTACATATGAGAGTCTTGCTTTCCCTTAAGAAACTGACATTATAAGTCCTACTCCTTAAAACACTGGTTCCTGACCCTCCTAATGCTGTGACTCTTTAACATAGTTCCTCAGGTTGTGGCACCCCCCCATCATAAAAATCATTTCATACTTCATAATTGTAATTTTGCTAATGTTGTGGATTCTAATGTAAATATCTGATATGCATGAAATCAGATATGTGATTCCCAGGCGACACGACTCACAAGCTGAGTACCCCTTCCATGATAGAATCTTGACTGTCCACATACTGCTGTCTTGATGCCTGTGTTAATTTTTGTCTCTGCAAGAATGCTTTAAAAGCCACCGGGTTGGGACAAGACTGTCTCTGAGCCACAAGATCTAGCCAAGCCCCATTCATAACCAGCAGGCTCCTATGGATGCAAGAGCTAAGCCCTTTCCCCTAAACAGTTTCCCAACTGAAAGTGGTATTTCTTTAGACATGTAAACTCCGATCAAAGCAGAAAGGGGTGGGGGCGGGGTATTTAGATATGCTGTCCAAAGGTCTAGCTATCTATGCTGGCCACGGAACAGGCAACTCTCCAGCAACCCAGAGAACGGCTGCCAGAATGAGTTAGCTCACCTGGTATTTTCAAGAACAGGGCCTGGGAAGATGGGAACACTGGTGTCTTTCAGCCAGCTTTTACAATCCCCCCTCTCGCGTGGACATTTCTGTGTATCTGCAATAGGCATTGCTGTGTATCTATGGGCATTGCTGTGTATCTATGGGCATTGCTGTGTATCTATGGGCATTGCTGTGTATCTATGGGCATTGCTATGTATCTATGGGCATTGCTGTGTATCTATGGGCATTGCTGTGTATCTATGGGCATTGCTGTGTAATTGCACAGGAGCCCACATCACTCAGGCTTGTGTTCCATCGCAGCCTACAGAGATTTGGTGATTCCCCTAGATGCTGGTCTAGCCCCACTGGAACACTCTGCACATTCCACTCCCTGGGGATGCATTAGTGAGGCAGCACCTACCGAGGGACCTATCCACATACAGTCACCATCCTGCCCTGCACACTGCTCTCTCAGTTCCCTTTCTAGCTGTCCTGGGTCTTCTTGTTCTCTCAGAACTCTGGGACTTGGAATGAGAAGCAGGAATTAAAGTCTTGCAGTAAAAGTGATGTCTCCTTGCAGCTCACATTTGCTAAAAATCTAACGCTGAGAGACAACCAGTCTCAAGGCTCCTGTTGCTCTTGACCCTGAAGTCTTCTAAAGACCCACCTTGATTCCTTAGCCAAAATTAACATTGCCCCAAACACTCAACCAGGAACTGAGGTGGCGCCCTATAAAATATCAAAAGAGTAAATAGCAGAGGCTGGCTTTGGGATCAGTCTCAAATCACAGGTGTGTGACCTCCGTGACATGGTTTGCCAAGAAAGGAATCATAAAGTCATGACCCCATGGAGTTAACATGAGCACAGAATATGACAGTATAAGCAAGAATCTCTGCGGTTGCGGCACTGCCATAGAGAACCTGCAAATGAGGGACTGTCGTTCCAGGCAAGGGAATGCAATACCAGCACTTGGGAGGCTGAGACAAAAGGATCTTGACTTGCGGGCCATCCTAGGCTACACAGCAAGTTTCAGGCTAGCCTGGGCTACATGGGTGGACCCCATATTAAAACAAATCACACACCAACACAATGGTGCACATGCACACACGAAATAGTAATGATAATGATGAGATCATAATTTCAAGCAGGGCATGAAAAAACTGCTTAGCTTCCAACATTAAAAAAAATGCATGGCATTTCCAATGTTAATGGTGAAATGCCTGTGTAACATTACATCATCCTCAATGGCAAGTATTTAAAGCACACAAGATGTCACGTGACCCTATTTCTGAAGGCACAAGGATGAAGGACTGCTTCTGCCAACGGCCTTCCTATTAGCAGAGGGCTGCACAGGGCATCACCGGGGAGAGTCAGAGAATACCCGATGTGTGTGTGTTCAGTCCACTGTACTGACGGGGGAGCCCTGAGGTGGAGGCCCTGTGGCCTAAGAAAGCCCTGAAGAACCACAAATCTGAGCTTAGACAGACTACCAGACACAGTCATGTCTGCACACTTCACAGGTAGCACTCAGGGGACCGTCAACCCTTGCCCCGAGCCACCTTGTTTTCCTAAGGTTCAGTGCAAGCCACTCACTTGCCAGCCATGGCCTTCATCATCTGTGTCTCCCCAGGCTGTCATCTGCCTCTGCTGTGCTGGGTCCCCGCACTAACCCCCAGTGTCACACAGCTGCCTGTGTTCTGTCCCCTTGGCTCCCGCCTGCCTCCCAGCTCCCTTCTCATCCAGCTGGCAATTTGGGTGGCATTGAGAAGCTGGGTCCAGAGGTCCTCTCTCCTCACATTTCTCACTGACTAGACAGAGTGCCACCGGCTGACCCTCTCACCCTACATGGGTTACAAATGACCAGGCTCGAGTCGCTGCTTAGTCAGCCTGGGAAAATGCTGCCCATGCAGTTATCGTGAGAACCTCGGCTTCTAAGGCAACACATGGCTTTCTGCTTGTTCTTCTCTGTGTATGCACTTGATAGCCAGGAAGGCCATGTGTACGAGCACTGACAGTGTGCCTCAGCCTCATGAGGTAGCATGGAAGTCTTGTTGGGCAAAGTAACAGATTGACAAACTAATGGGGTCGATCCCAGTTCTGGCCTGATTGGCCATGGAACAGGCTTGAGAGCCTCCACAGACCGGCTTCTCCCTCAGTTATGCCAGCGTGAAAGGGTTTCTCACAGACACAGGGCAGCAGGGGCAGGAAATGAATGTGTCCACCTGTGGCTATGTCCACAGAGACGGGCTGCTCAGAACTCTGGCTTTGGCCTTTCTCCCTGACAGCATGTCCCCAGAGGTATGAACTGCCCCAATCCACCTGCCTCCTTGTTGGTGACTGTGCCAGGCTGCAGCAGCCATCTTCAAACACAGGAAGAGAACGGAGGACCCACAGGAAGCAGTGTGGCCACAGGTGGGGGAGGACATCCAACCGTCTGACTCGAGAGAGAGCGCCCAGGCGCAAACATCCTCACACCACACGGTGGCCACAGCTGAGTCACTGGCCAACAGTGGTTTACCGGCAGGCCCTATGAGCACGCCAACAGCAAGAGAGGGCTGGGATGTGAAAACAGCGTCCACGGGGGCCCCCACGGAATGACGCAGAAGAGCCACGGGCGCCTAGCTGAACAGTCTCAGGAGCTTTCGCTTATCAGATCAAACACAGACCTCAGAGGGACGCTGTGAGGGCCAGCCACACCCTGTCTGCCCTTGACCGGAAGTGGAGCTAGGGCCCCTGCAGCGGAAGGAACAAGAGCAGAGGAAAGCTCGGAGAACTCTAAGCATTGCCCCGGTGTCTGGGGAGACTTGACCCTCAAGGGGGCACTAAGAGCAGTGAAGTGAGAAGCCACTGACGCAGCCATCAGAGGACGTTCAGGTTGATGCGCGTGTAAGCGGATTTATCTGGAAAATGAATGAGTCAATGCTCTTCACTGAACTGTCTAACACAGTGGTTCTCATCCTTCCTGACTCCGTGACCCTTTAATACAGTTCCCCGTGTGTGGTGACCCCCAGCCATACAATGATTTTCACGGCTACTTCATAACTGTCATTTTGCCACTGTTATGAATGGTAATGTAAATACCTGTTTTCTGATGGTCTTAGGTGACCCCTGTGAAAGGGTGGTTTGGCTCCCCACCCTCCCCTGGCAAAGGGGTTTCCACCCACGGGTGAGAACCACTGCCCTAGACTATCCAGGGCCCTCACCCCCACGCAAACAGTTAACCCACATTTAATTAGACCTGTTATCTATCAGAGACCCTCACAAAAGAGCTCCAGCCTGGGCAGGATGGGAGAGAAGAGCTGTACCGCAAAGGTAGCAGCAGCATAGGCCAGGTTCAGTTATTTTCCAAAGACTGGTTCTGCTGCCATGATGCTCCGGGAACAGACACTTCCATCTCTGGAGAACCCCCCCCCCCACCGCCCCACCGCCAATCCCCCCATGCCAGTCCCATCTTCCCCACACTAGCCTCCATGAGATGGGGGGGGGGCAAAGGGACAAAGCAAACCATGGCATCTGACACCATGCAAACGCTTGACCCTGGAGGTGACCTAAGACTAACAAAAAAAAAAAAAAAAAGAGGACTCAAAAACTCAGCACCACCAGAACCTGGGTATGAGTTCCGGCAGCTGGTCAGCTGGAGAAGCTAAGGTACTCATCGATCTGTGACCTAACCTGGTGGTCCTTGAGGGTTTTTCAAAGACCCGTGCAAGCTTGCCCGTCTCGGGAAGGGCAAAAAGTCGGGTCACCCCTGCCAACGAGGCACAGGGACACCGAAAGCCTCATCTGGGCCGCATTTATAAATCATGATTCAGCAGGAGATTATATTCACTCTTCCCTGGCCAAAAAAAAAAAAATCTTTCCAAACCCTTGCTCTGCAGAGATGGTTTCGGTTTTCATTTTTGACAGGGTTCTCTGCTCCCCCTCTCTCAATTCTCTTTCTGGAGAAATGACCTAATGAGCTCACAGCAGATGAGAAGAATTGGCCCCTGGGAGAGGAGGGAGGGAGGGAGGAAGGGAGGGAGGGTGGACTGGGCTGCCCTGGCCTGGGGAGGCTGTCACATTTCTTATCAAAAGGCAGGCACAAATTGCCTGCAGCTGTCCTAGCAAAGCAGCACGTTGACCACTCTCTTCCCCGGAGGCCATTATCTCCTCTCTAATCGCTTCAGCCACTGCCCAGCGTCTTCTACCTCGCTGAGATGTTTCTGCCAGGTTCTGTCTGCAGCTGGCAGGCACACAGAAGCCTGCCGGTCCAGCCAAAGGCCACTCCTCTCAGGACATCTCTCGACCCATCTCTTTTAAGCATCCCCCGTGGGAGCACAGATCTCCTGAAAACTATTGCCAGATGGAGCTGGTTGCTACTTAGCTCAACCTGAGCCCCAAGGTCCTCAAAGCCCCTAAGGTCCGAGGGTGGGAGAGGCCAGAAAAGAACGCAGCAACCCCCTTGAGAAATGGAGTGGGGGACGAATTCTGCAGCTTTGAGCTGGCTGGGTGCCACCTGGCTCTCTGCTCCGGCTTTTAGGAGAGAATCTAAATCCCTGGCTTTTTTTTTAAATCGGGGCTCATCACGGGTCAGCAGCAGCGGCTGCCCCGGGGAGGAGCTGCTAAAAGCGGCACTTTGTGGGTGCCACTGGCGGGCCCCACCCCCAGTCTCAGAGGTGATCCGGAGTTGCTCTAGCCCCTGTATGCATGCTGGATGAGGGCACAGACCACCAGCTGCCTGCCCTCGGTCCCTACCAGGCACCCAGATGTTGAATGTGGTCCTGGCCTATCTTAGGGCCCTCTGGGGGATATCCTCAACCCTCCCCCCACGAGCATTCAGTCTGGAGAGTTGGTAAAATTCCATGGGGCCCAAGCCATTTCCGATCCACTGCTCAGTAACTGTACACTTTGAAGGAATCTGTCACTGGTTCAGGGTCATTGTCCCTGTGCCCTTTTGTCCCCGTGACAAAAAAAGGTTACATCCTCCATAGATAGTGCTTTATTTGGGATGTGAAATGACTCCCAAAGGCCAGTGGTAACATCTGGAACTTTGAGGAGGTGGGGGCACAAGGGGAATCCTTAAGAGTCTAGGGGTACCCTCAGGAGAGATTATAGGTGCCCAGTCCCTCTATAATTTGCTCCCAAGTCGTGAGGTAAGAAGCTGGGCCCCATTCTACCATAATCTACTGCCTCACAGGAACCCCACAATCATGACTAAGACCTGGAACACAGTGACCCAAAACAAACTATTCTCTCTACAGATTATCTCAAATATTCCTATAGGTCTGGAGCGTTGAGTAACCAGCACATCCAAAGAGTGGGCCACCCTCCCCAGTACCAAACGCAACCACAAGACAGCAGACCTTCCATGGGCGATGCCTGGGAAAGGGAAGCAAGCTAATGACTGTGGATGCCCCCAAGGCTCACACCTCCAGGATGTAGAACCTCCCTCCCTCTTGCTTAGACATCAAGCCTACTTCAAGAACATGGCTTCCCAGCATGCCAGACCAACCTTACCTTCGAGATGTAAGTCAGCTGCAGAGATCCGACAGCTCCTGCTCCAACTGCCAGGTTCTGAAAGACAAAGGTGTTTTCTTACGATGTGAGGGTCCCCAAAGCATGGAACAGCAAGAGACACACCAGTGTTCTAGTTCAGCCTCGGGTAAGTCACTGTCCTCACCTACAAAGCATTGGTAATGAGTCCTGGATAACAGGTTTCCTGGTGGGGACACACACACACACACACACACACACACACACACACACACACACACACACACACACACGGGACAGAAGCATTAACAGTACCCCACACCCCGTCGTGTCCAGTTAGTCTAGGACAATGGCTAGACATGTGTGCTTCCCCATGTGACTGCGAAGTCTCTTAATTAGGCCTCAGTTTCCCTTGCTGTAAAAACAGAAGTCACCTCTTAAACGACTCCTAACAGAGGGACCAAGGGCTGTCCCCAACTCTTTTACTGGCTTTTGGGACCCCACTTCTCATACTGGGTGACCTTGCCCAGCCTTAATACAAGGGGAGGTGCTTAGTCTTACTGCAACTTGATATGCCATGTTTTGTTGATACTCACGGGAGACCTGCCCTTTCCTGGAGGAATGGGGAAGAGGGACTTAGAGGGGAGGATGGGAGGGAGGCTGCGGCTGGGATGTAAAATAAATAGATGAGGTTTTTAAATTTTAAAAAATAATAAAATTAAACTTAAAAAATAAAAATAGGTCAATTTGGATAAAACACAGAGAGAGAGAGAGAGAGAGAGAGAGAGAGAGAGAGAGAGAGAGAGAGAGAGAGAGAGAGAGAGAGAGAGAGATTGGTGATTTGAGTTCCCTTTATCCAAACCAAAATGCTGGAGAATTCAGGGTTTGTTTGTTTTTCCTAATTTTCCTTTTTTGGGGTGAGAGTTAGCAGAGAGATATTGTGGTCCTCTCGTCTCCACTCCCAGGGGAATGAGATTACAGGTGTGTGTCACCACGACCAGGAGCTTTAAAAAAAAATATCTATGTCAGGTGGTGGTGGTGTAGCCTTTAATCCTAGCACTTGGGAGGCAAAGACAGGTGGATCTCTGTGAATTTTAGGCCAGCCTGGTCTATAGAGTGAGTTCCAGGACAGCCAGGGCTACACAAAGAAACTCTCTCTTGAAAAAACACACACACACAAATTACATAAAAAATGAGAAGTCCTAAGGACGAATAATTCCATTTGTGCTTTGTATACCCATTATACAGATCTCCTAGAGACTGTAATTTTAGACAATGCTTTTAGCAACCTTGTGTTCGTAAGGCAACATACCAGATGAGGTTAGGTGTAGAATTTTCTAGATGTCAACTTCAGAAAGTTGCAGATTTGAGATCATTTCAGATTTTTAGATTAGGAATATTCCACCTATAACCCCACCCTGTAATACAGTGATGAGGTGGTGTTTACACGAGGGAGTGTTTCAGCGTGGAATTTCCCGGCACACAGGGATGCTCTGCAAGTGTGACCTGTAACATCTTTTCTGCCTGCTAGCTCTGATTTGGCTTGCTTTGTCTTATTTGTGTCATTTCAACATTCATTTCATAACATATAGGATACAAACTCATATGATACAGATTTTTTTAACATGCCTGTCAGTTTACTTACTATAATACATGCCAAATGAAACTGATGTCTGAACACAAAAATAAAAACCAGTAAGAAAGCACACTACTAAGGCAGCAAGAAGGCTGAGGGTGAGGTGCAATGGGAATGCTTGCCTAGCATATACAATAGTCAGGGTTTCATGCTACAACTGAAAAACACAATACAGAAACACATCCAAAACAAAACAAAACCAGAAAGAAAAAAACAGCAGGAAGCTCCAAATACTGGGCCAGCAATATTCTACATGACAGGCCCTTCTTGGCTTCCTGATTTCTGCTGAGAGATGATACAAGGTAGTGACCAATATTAGAAATCATACCAAGGAAGCTCCCAATAGATACCCTTCCAACCTGAGTCTGTCTGAGAACCCACCCCCACAGTCAAAGAGTCCATTGAGAACCCACTCCTATAACTTGAGTCTGCAGCTCCAAACACCGTTATCCTCCAGGCAAACAACAGAAGCCCTCCCTAGATGGGGCTATCACAAAGCAATGAAAGGAGCAAAAAAGTTAGGAAATTTGCCTAAGGATTAACAGAGAAATGGTCTACCATTCTAGAGACTACCTTAAGAAATGTCTTGGCTGGAGAAAAGGCTCGGGTGTTAACAGCATTTGCTGCTCTTCCAGAGGACCCAGTTCAATTCCTGGCACCTACTCAGTGTCTTACAACTGCCTATAACTCCAGTTCTAGGGGATCCGATGCCCTCTTATGGTTTCACAGGCACCAAATATACATGGTGCACAGATATACATGCAGACAAAACACCATATACATAAGATAACACAATTTTTAATTAAAAGAAATTAAAAAAGAAATATCTTAGAGTTCAGAAGAGCCCATTGTCTAAATTAACATATATCTCTGAAGTAAATTCACTGTGTCAAATTTCTTGTTTATGAGAAGATGGATAGGGGCTGGAGAAATGGCTCAGTGGTTAAGGGCACTGGCTGCTCTTCCAGAGATCCTGGGTCCGGTTCCAGAACCCACAATGGCAGCTCAGAGCTGTCTATAACTCCAGTTCCAGGGGATCTGACGTCCTCACACAGACACACATTTAAGCAAAGCACCAATGCATATAAAATAAATAAATTTTTAAAATTATTTAAAAAAAAAAAGAAAATGGATAGGGGCTGGGCAGTGGTAAGGCACACCTTTAATTCCAGCTCTTGGGAGGCAGAGGCAGGAAGATCTCTGTGAGTTCCAGGCCATCCTGGTCTACATAGTGAGTTCCAGTACAGCCAGGGCTACACAGAGAAACCATTTCTTGAAAACCCAAAAAAAAAAAAAAAAAAAAAAAAAAAGAAGGAACTTAAGAAAGGAAAATAGGCAGGGATAACACAGCCATTTAAGGGAACTCTGAACCTCGGTGAAAAGACCTTTTAAAAAAAAAAGAAAAAGACTGTATTACTACCTTTTACACATGAAACTAAGCCTGAAGAATCTGAAGAATGCGTTTGCAGGGAGTGAGAGTGTATGGTTCAGTGGCACAGCATTTCCCAAGACCGGCTGAGGTCTTGGGTATCACCTCAAGTTCTGTATAAACAAACAAACAAACAAACAAACAAACCACCCTGGAGTACTCAGATCAGCATTCATCTTAGTTATGTGCTTTAAACGTCATTATAGTTTATATCTCTTTAAAGGACATCTCCATTGAGTTAAAAAAGACAGGCTCTGCCATTCCCAAATCAACATCTAAATGGAGCCATCACCGTCTGAGAATAAGGAGAGATGACCTGAAATACTCTAGGCAAAGAGTCAGATCTGTTGGGTGCAGAAGCAAGCCAGTGTCTCCACAGCCTCACTGTGGCCAAGAACTCCATGGACACGTGGAGCCAAAGGCTTTCAGGTCTCCTGGAAGCCACCACATTCTAACTGTAGCATTAACACTCTCTGATTGCTGCCAAGACTTTCTCTATAAAACACAGATGACAAGCTGTGCCAGACGGTGACTGGGAGAATTACATGAAAACAGGGTGAGCATAGCACAGGGAGGCCATGGGCCCCCCTCAACCCAGCTAATTACAAGATGCAAACACCAGGATCCAGTGCTACTCTTAAATAACTGCTCTCCTCACCCCAAACCACATCTCGAAGCCTCTGGAGCCCCATCCTGATTCGTGAGTGGAGTGGGATGGGGGAGCAACTCGGACTCTAAGCCACATGTAATGACAGGGGTGGATGAGATTTCAAGGATGTCAGCCCTCTCTCTGCTGCAGCCTCTGGTGCCTCCTCCCCCTCACAGAGATGCTGCCGAGTTAGCCTGGGGGTGGCGGTGGGGGAAGCTCATTTATATGCCACCCTTTCTGCTCTGGAGAGCAGAAAAATGCTCTCTCCATCCCAAGAAGCCAGGAAAACAAGAGGAATGTCTGAAAAGCTGTTTGCCCACCACCTCCTACCCACCCGTGGGTGGAAAGCATCTCTAGCATTCACGAGGCTTCATCCAAAGTGAGGCTGTGTCCACTCCAATTAACTGGGTCTAGAAGTTTAATGGCAACAACTCTCATTGTCATGGTGGTACCCAGACACTTCCTGACCAAGGGAGCTTGCCCAAAAAGGCCCAAGAAGCCAAGTGTTAGGACAAGAAACTCAGGAATCAGTACCCAGGACTCATCAGGTTCCTGAGTGCAAGAGGGGACCCCGGTGTTGAGTCCCGAAGCTGAAGGATAAATTCAGGACCTCCCAGAAGACTTCACTGGTTCCCGCAGCTACAAACACCCGTCTCTCAACTCACAGACCCATTCTGGACTTTGGCGCAGACTCAAAGCCCCGAGGTACCACTTGAAAAAGTTCTGTCTCGGGCTTCACCCTCAAAATGCCGAGTCTAAATCAAGTGGAAGGAATTAGAAGGCACACATGTCACAACTCTCCAGTGACCCCCTAACTGGACCCAAGTTTAAGAGCGGCTGATCAATGGGATGAAACCTAGCTGTGTTGGTATTTTCCCAAGAGTCTAGTCTTTTCTTATTACATTAACTACACTATAAGCTTAACTGTGGACATGACTGGGAAATTCAAGATGAAGGCATCTTGTGACGCTAGGTGTCTGTAGTCCCAGCACTCAGGAGGAAAGGCAGAGGCAGGATACCACTATCTGAACAGATGTGGCCTCCATATAGGAAGGTTTGTAAAACTCACTTCATTTACTTGTTTTTTGAGTCCTAGGGGTTGAACCTAGTTTCTTCATGAATGCCTGGCATATAATTTAACCCTGAGATATATGGACCCCCCACTTTTAAATGGGGGACTTATACTTCTAGAAGGCGGTAAATGTGAAATCACCTGGGGTTTTTTTGTTTGTTTGTTTGCTTGTTTTTTAACTGACATATAATAATCCTATATCTTGGGGTACAGCATGACAATTCAATACATGCACACAACTATAATGATCAGATCAAGGTGTCTGTTTGTGGCAGTCTGAATGGGAATGGCTGCC